TGGTCATCAACCTAACCTAAGTAAACTATAGTCATAGTCATGGTCATCAACCTAACCTAAGTAAACTATAGTCATAGTCATGGTCATCAACCTAACCTAAGTNTTGCTCAAATATACCTCAGGTAATAATAATAATTTTTTTCTATTTTGATTAACTTTTCCTTTTTCAATCAATCAATGGATGAATGGATGTGGATGGATCTATTTGATCAATAGATCGGAAATGATCGATTCAAATGTTGAATGAATGATTGGGTGATTGGATGCCCGGACATTACCTGAAGCTTGAAATTCTTTTTCTTTTCCTGCTGAATGCTTTGCTTAGCAAAAAAAAAACTTTCATTCATTCAATGTTTCTGAATTCTCATTACGGTTTCGTTTGTTTTGTTACTTTTTTTTGACTGGAATTTAATTAACCAAACCTGTATTTCAATCATAACCCTTTGTTTTTTCTCCGCTTGGTTGTTGTTTTTTTCCATTACTTGCAATGTTGAGAAAATTTTTTCAACATTTGAAATCAATATCAGTGTCAAAAGTCAGTCTCATCATCATCATCATCATCAGTCAAATTGAATTAGGCCAGAAAAATGAAACATTCTTCTTCTTGTTGCATCAAATATTTCGGGATGAGGAAAAAATTCTTTCAACAACATCAAACAACAAAAAAGAAACAAGCTAAACATCCATCCATTCATTCATTTTTTTCCAAATGAAACATGACACATAAAGTCTTCGTCATTGTTTCACCCCGTTGGGTTGTTGGTTGAAACATTCAATGTGTGTGCGTCATGTTCTTTTACATCTTTCAATGGTACATATGTTTCATATATAATGTTGTTCCATCATGAGAAAACAATCATGAACAATTAATATTCGTTGAAAAAAAAATGAATGAATTCTTGATTCTCGACAATTGCAGTTTTTGTTGTTGTTGTTGTTGTTTTTTCGTTTGGTCGATGATAAATTATTATTTTTCTTGCCATTATCATCATCATCATGTCATGTCGTTTATGAAAAGTGAATAAGAATTTCGAATGTTTGCATCCATCGTCGTTGTTGTTTTTCGTTCGAAAATCTGACTGAAGATAAAGCTGACAAGCTGATTTTTTGTTTTTGTTGTTTTTGGATCCAAAATGATTGAATGAATGAATGGAGAATAGGAAGAAAAACTAAAACAAGAAAACAAAGCAAAAAAATTTAAATTGTTAATCTAATTACATTACAACATTAAACATACTTGTAGACAGATTTAAGTTTTCATTAAAAAGATTCATTTCCTTAATTTCTTTCTTTCTTTTTCTCGTCTGGATGATGATGATAATGGTATAAAAAGGCTCACTATATAGAAATAGATAAAATTAGTGACATAGATAGATAGAAAACATTGATATTGTGGGCTTGTTTATTTAANGAATGGAGAATAGGAAGAAAAACTAAAACAAGAAAACAAAGCAAAAAAATTTAAATTGTTAATCTAATTACATTACAACATTAAACATACTTGCAGACAGATTTAAGTTTTCATTAAAAAGATTCATTTCCTTAATTTCTTCTTTCTTCTTCTTGTCTGGATGATGATGATAATGGTATAAAAAGGCTCACTATATAGAGATATGGGGATATAGAAATAGATAAAATTAGTGACATAGATAGATAGATAAATAACATTGATATTGTGGGCTTGTTTATTTAAATTAAATTAAACAAAACAGAAAACTTACCACCATCAATGTTGTTGTTATTTAGGATGATAATGATGATGATTATACCATTTGAAGATCTACATCATCATCATCATTAGCAATGTCCGAAGATATTTAGAAGGAGAGTGACGCGATAGAATTTGATTCAATTGAATTGAATTCTTCGTTTCTTCTTTCTTTGAGAAGAAAAAAGCTCGAAAAGAAGACCAAAAATACATGGAAAATATTGTTGTCGTCGTTGTCGTTTTAATTCTTATCTTATTTTCACCATTATCGTCATCAGCATTTGGAAACACTTTGTTCAATCATTGCCATCATTGTATTTTCTTTTCTTTTTTTAAATTTCATCATCGTCGTCATCTTTATCGTTAAAGCAGCATAAATCACGTTGTTGTTGTTTTCTATTGTTGCTGCAATTTTTCTCGATTCTTTTGTTGTTGTTGTTGTCGTCGTCGTTCTTGATGATGATTATGATCGTCGTCATTTTTGTCAAAAAAGAAATTTGTTTCAACAACAACAACAAATGATTTTATGGACCGAGAAAAAAAGAATATTACATATGATTGGCCATCAATAAATTTCTTTCGAACGTTTTTTTTTATCATTTTGTGTAACGTCATTGTTGAATAGGACTTCCGAATGAATTTATATTTTCGAATGAAATTGATTACGCTCACTGATGATATTCTTTCTATTGAATGCAATTTTCTCATTTTCTTGAATGAAAATTCTTTCCTTTATTCTGGTCAATTTTCTCTTGCTTGTCCATCATTTTGATCACTTAAACTGGTCCTCGAACAAAAGATCATCATCATGATGTAGAAGAAGAAGAAGACCAAAAACCAGTGGGTGACACAATCAATTGATGAAGATGATGATGATAGTGCTAATGTTCATTGATAATAATCATTATTATTATCATCATCATCATCATCATCATTGCCGTCCAACGACCAAGAAAACTGTCTTATAATCATCATCATCATCATCATCATCATGAATGGATCGACCAAAAAAAAAAGTCTCTTTTGTTTGGAACAAATCCTTTGCTTGAAATCATCATCATCAACATCAACAAAACATAAGTGCAATAAGGAAAATAAAAAAAACTGAATAGAAAATTGAATAGCCGCCACTCAAAATCGTTAACCATTAATCTTGATTTTCGCGTTTGAATTTTTTTATATTCTATCTTTTTCTCTCTCTTTCTTTCCTAAAATCACATCCATTTCATCTTCAACTGGAATTGAAAAAAGAAGACGACAACGACGATGAAGAATAAGAAGAATAAAAAGAAACTGAAAATGTAATTCATTAAACACCACACTGTTTTTGTTACAAAGTGTGACAAACATTTTTTTTCTTTAGTCTTCAAAATCTTTCTTTTTTTTTAAATTCTCTCTCGCTATTCAAACCCTGAAGATTCATGCAGATTTATTTCGTGTCTGTAAATCAAAATAAATTGTCCTTTAACGACGACGACGATGATGATGATGCATTTAGAATGGGAAATGATGATGATAATATCTGGCCGGAACCAACTAACTTTGAATGATGATGATCCGATGATAATAGTGAGGATAAACAGAAATGTCTAAATGGTCATAATGACGACGATTATTTAAAATCATTTATCTTGGATTTTTTTTCTTGGCAAAATGAATTTTTGGAAAATTTCGAATCTTTTTTCCAAGAAAAAAATCCATAAACTAATGACATCTGTTGGAATTTTTTTTCAAAATTTTGTTCCATCATTTATGAACAGTCGTTCGGTTCGCTCAATTTTTTTACGGCCAAAAGCGGCACACCGCGTGCATTGTCTCGGTTTTTTTGGTTTTGGTTTTGTTTTTGATTATCGTTAATTTCGTAAAAAAAGAAAATCTTTTTGAATGTTTCAAACTTAAAAACAAACAGATTATCATCATGTCCGGACATCAACATCATTATCCACCACCACCGATGCCCGGATATTTTATTCCGCATCATATGCCACCGCATCCAATGCAACAACAACAACAACCACCATTGATGCCGCAAATGCAACAACCACCACCACAAATGATACCGCAAATGCAACAACAACCACCGCCACCCATATCGCAACAAATAGATTTAGCTAATTTACCATTACCACCATCAAATGAATATAATCGTAATAGTTTTCTGACCGATGATGAATTGAAAGAAAAATCTAGAAAATGGCAACAATTACAAACAAAACGTTATGCCGAAAGGAAAAAATTTGGTTTTGTTGAACAACAAAAAGAAGATATGCCACCTGAACATCTAAGGAAAATTATACGTGATCATGGTGATATGACATCGAAAAAATATCGTCATGATAAACGTGTTTATTTAGGCGCATTGAAATATATTCCACATGCAGTATTGAAGCTATTGGAAAATATGCCAATGCCATGGGAACAGATTCGTGATGTACAAGTTCTTTATCATATAACCGGAGCTATAACATTTGTCAATGAAATTCCATGGGTAGTTGAACCAATTTATATTGCACAATGGGGTTCAATGTGGATTATGATGCGTCGAGAAAAACGTGATCGTCGTCATTTTAAACGTATGCGTTTTCCACCATTCGATGATGAAGAACCACCATTAGATTATGCTGATAATCTGTTGGATGTTGAACCATTAGAAGCTATACAAATGGATTTAGATCCAGAAGAAGATCGTCATGTTTATGAATGGTTTTATGATCATAAACCATTAGTTGATACTAAACATGTTAATGGATCATCATATCGTCGTTGGAATCTAACATTACCACAATTAGCAACATTATATCGTTTGGCTAATCAATTATTAACCGATCTGGTTGATGATAATTATTTTTATCTATTTGATTCAACATCATTTTTTACTGCTAAAGCATTAAATATGGCTATACCTGGTGGACCAAAATTTGAACCATTGGTCAAGGATATAAATCCAGCCGATGAAGATTGGAATGAATTTAATGATATTAATAAAATAATAATACGTCATCCAATTCGTACTGAATATCGTATTGCATTTCCATATCTTTATAATAATCTACCGAATGAACATGTTTATATTTCATGGTAAGTTTTTTTTTGTTTTGTTTTATGGTAAAATTTTCATTGTTTACTTAGTTTTTCATGATTCAACTTGATTTTTTCTCTTGAAATTATCATTCAAATTCAATGAGAAAAAATTTTTTGGAATTATGAATAAATCAAAATCGATATGCGTATTGGCTTTGAAGAGTTTTGAGATTTTTTTGTTGTATTTTTCCAAAGTCGCTGAATATCAATAACATTTTCCATGTTTTTTTTCTTTTTCCATTCAGGTATCATACACCGAATGTTGTTTTTATTAAAACTGAAGATCCTGATCTACCGGCTTATTATTTTGATCCACTTATAAATCCAATTTCACATAGTCGTATTGATCGTTCATATGAACCATTACCTGAAGAAGATAAAGATGAACCATTTATGTTACCCGAAACAGTTGAACCAATTTTATCAAAATGTCCATTATATACAGATAATACTGCAAATGGAATATCATTACTATGGGCACCACGTCCTTATAATCTACGTTCTGGTCGTAGTCGTCGTGCTATTGATGTTCCATTAGTACAAAGTTGGTATCGTGAACATTGTCCACCCGGAATGCCGGTTAAAGTTCGTGTATCATATCAAAAACTATTGAAATATTTTGTTTTAAATGCATTACATCATCGAAGACCAAAACCGCAGAAAAAACGTTACCTATTTCGTTCATTTAAATCGACAAAATTTTTTCAAACAACAACTATTGATTGGGTTGAAGCTGGTCTACAAGTTTGTCGTCAAGGTTATAATATGCTAAATTTATTGATTCATCGAAAAAATCTAAATTATTTACATTTGGATTATAATTTCAATTTAAAACCTGTAAAAACATTGACGACTAAAGAAAGAAAAAAATCTCGTTTTGGTAATGCTTTTCATTTATGTCGTGAAATTCTTCGTCTAACAAAATTAGTTGTCGATAGTCATGTACAATATCGATTGAATAATGTTGATGCATATCAATTGGCTGATGGTTTACAGTATATTTTTTCACATGTTGGACAATTAACTGGAATGTATCGTTATAAATATAAATTAATGAGACAAATACGAATGTGTAAAGATTTAAAACATTTAATATATTATCGATTTAATACTGGACCAGTTGGTAAAGGACCGGGTTGTGGTTTTTGGGCACCAAGTTGGCGTGTTTGGTTATTTTTTATGCGTGGTATAACACCATTATTGGAACGTTGGTTAGGAAATCTTCTTTCACGTCAATTTGAAGGTAGACATTCAAAAGGTGTTGCAAAAACTGTTACTAAACAACGTGTTGAATCACATTTTGATTTGGAATTACGTGCTTCGGTTATGCATGATATTGTTGATATGATGCCTGAAGGTATTAAACATAATAAAGCACGAACTATATTGCAACATCTGAGTGAAGCATGGCGTTGTTGGAAAGCAAATATACCGTGGAAAGTTCCCGGTTTACCGATGCCAATTGAAAATATGATTTTACGTTATGTAAAAATGAAAGCTGATTGGTGGACAAACACGGCACATTATAATCGGGAACGTATTCGTCGTGGTGCTACTGTTGATAAAACTGTTTGTAAAAAAAATCTTGGACGTTTAACACGTTTATATTTGAAAGCTGAACAAGAACGACAACATAATTATCTGAAAGATGGTCCATATGTTAGTGCAGAAGAAGCTGTTGCAATTTATACAACAACAGTACATTGGCTGGAAAGTCGTCGTTTTTCACCGATACCATTTCCACCTCTTTCATATAAACATGATACAAAATTATTAATTTTAGCATTAGAACGTTTAAAAGAAGCATATTCAGTAAAATCTCGATTAAATCAATCACAACGTGAAGAATTAGGTTTAATTGAACAAGCATATGATAATCCACATGAAGCATTATCACGAATTAAACGTCACCTATTAACACAACGTGCATTTCGTGAAGTTAGTATTGAATTTATGGATCTTTATTCACATTTAGTTCCTGTTTATGATGTTGAACCATTGGAAAAAATTACCGATGCATATTTAGATCAATATCTTTGGTATGAAGCTGATAAACGACATTTATTTCCAGCATGGATAAAACCGGCTGATTCTGAACCACCACCATTATTAGTTTATAAATGGTGTCAAGGTATTAATAATCTACAGGATGTTTGGGATACAACACATGGTGAATGTAATGTTATGTTGGAAACAAAATTTGAAAAAATGTATGAAAAAATCGATTTAACCTTATTGAATCGTTTGTTACGTTTGATTGTTGATCATAATATTGCTGATTATATGACAGCTAAAAATAATGTTGTTATCAATTATAAAGATATGAATCATACAAATTCATATGGTATTATACGTGGATTACAATTTTCATCATTTATCGTTCAATATTATGGTCTTGTATTGGATTTATTAGTACTCGGGTTGCAACGTGCAAGTGAAATGGCTGGTCCACCACAAATGCCAAATGATTTTCTTACCTACCAGGATGTTGCTACGGAAATTTCACATCCAATTCGTTTATATTCAAGATATATTGATCGAATACATGTATTTTTTCGTTTTACAGCTGATGAAGCAAGAGATTTGATTCAACGTTACTTGACTGAACATCCTGATCCAAATAATGAAAATATTGTTGGTTATAATAATAAAAAATGTTGGCCAAGAGATGCACGAATGCGTCTGATGAAACATGATGTTAATCTTGGTCGTGCTGTATTTTGGGATATAAAAAATCGTTTACCAAGATCAGTAACAACAATACAATGGGATAATAGTTTTGTTTCAGTTTTTAGTAAAGATAATCCAAATCTTTTATTCAATATGGGTGGTTTTGAATGTCGAATACTACCAAAATGTCGTATGGCATTAGAAGAATTTGTACATAAAGATGGTGTATGGAATTTACAGAATGAAGTAACCAAAGAACGTACTGCACAATGTTTTCTACGTGTTGATGATGAATCAATGCAACGTTTTCATAATCGTGTACGACAAATTCTAATGGCATCTGGTTCAACAACATTTACAAAAATTGTTAACAAATGGAATACAGCATTAATTGGTTTGATGACATATTTTCGTGAAGCAGTTGTTAATACACAAGAATTATTAGATTTATTGGTAAAATGTGAAAATAAAATACAAACCCGTATTAAAATTGGTTTGAATTCAAAAATGCCAAGCCGTTTTCCACCGGTTGTATTTTATACACCAAAAGAATTAGGTGGACTAGGTATGCTTTCAATGGGTCATGTATTAATACCACAATCTGATTTACGTTGGTCAAAACAAACTGATGTTGGTATAACACATTTTCGTTCTGGAATGTCACATGATGAAGATCAAGTTATACCGAATCTTTATCGTTATATACAACCATGGGAAACAGAATTTATTGATTCACAACGTGTTTGGGCTGAATATGCATTGAAACGTCAAGAAGCGCTAGCACAAAATCGTCGTTTAACATTGGAAGATCTGGAAGATAGTTGGGATCGTGGTATACCACGTATTAATACATTATTTCAAAAAGATCGTCATACATTAGCATATGATAAAGGATGGCGTGTACGTACTGATTTTAAACAATATCAAGTTTTAAAACAGAATCCATTTTGGTGGACACATCAACGTCATGATGGAAAACTGTGGAACCTGAATAATTATCGTACCGATATGATCCAGGCATTAGGTGGTGTTGAAGGTATCCTTGAACATACATTATTCAAAGGAACATATTTTCCAACATGGGAAGGTTTGTTTTGGGAAAAAGCCAGTGGTTTTGAAGAATCAATGAAATATAAAAAATTAACAAATGCACAACGTTCCGGTTTAAATCAAATACCAAATCGTCGTTTTACATTATGGTGGTCACCAACAATTAATCGTGCAAATGTTTATGTTGGTTTCCAGGTTCAATTAGATTTAACTGGAATATTTATGCATGGAAAAATACCTACGCTAAAAATTTCATTAATTCAAATATTTCGTGCACATTTATGGCAAAAAATTCATGAAAGTGTTGTTATGGATTTGTGTCAAGTTTTTGATCAAGAATTAGATGCATTGGAAATTGAAACCGTACAAAAAGAAACAATTCATCCACGTAAATCATATAAAATGAATAGTTCTTGTGCAGATATCCTATTGTTTGCTGCATATAAATGGAATGTATCAAGACCATCATTATTGGCTGATAGTAAAGATGTAATGGATGGTACAACAACACAAAAATATTGGATCGATGTCCAGTTACGTTGGGGTGATTATGATTCACATGATATTGAACGTTATGCACGTGCGAAATTTTTGGATTATACAACCGATAATATGAGTATTTATCCATCACCAACTGGTGTATTGATTGCTATCGATTTAGCTTATAATTTACATTCAGCATATGGTAATTGGTTTCCTGGTTCAAAACCATTAATACAACAAGCAATGGCAAAAATAATGAAAGCTAATCCAGCATTATATGTATTGAGAGAACGTATTCGTAAAGGTTTACAACTTTATTCATCTGAACCAACTGAACCATATTTATCATCACAAAATTATGGTGAATTATTTTCCAATCAAATCATATGGTTTGTTGATGATACAAATGTATATCGTGTTACGATACATAAAACATTTGAAGGAAATCTAACAACAAAACCAATTAATGGTGCTATTTTTATATTCAATCCACGTACTGGACAATTATTTTTGAAAATTATTCATACAAGTGTTTGGGCTGGACAAAAACGTTTAGGTCAATTGGCTAAATGGAAAACAGCCGAAGAAGTTGCTGCACTGATTCGTTCATTACCGGTTGAAGAACAACCAAAACAAATTATTGTAACACGTAAAGGAATGTTGGATCCATTAGAGGTAAGCATTGTTTTTTGTTCGAAAACGGACTATATTTTTCTGGATCAAATCATTTTTCTCTCTGTCTATTGATGTTGAGAAATGATGAAAATGTTTGATTCGATAAAAATGAAAGTCCAAAATGAATTATCCAGTAACATAGTGTTGAATGTGATTGGTGGCTTTTGTTTCAGCTTGAATGCTGAAATTCACCAAATTTCATTTTTCGATTCCATTCAATTTCCCATCCCTGTGACATTTTTATTAATTAAGAAAACATTGATTAATTTAATCTGTTTTTTTTTCACCTTAGGTTCATTTATTAGATTTTCCAAATATTGTAATCAAAGGAAGTGAATTACAGCTACCATTTCAAGCTTGTTTGAAAGTTGAAAAATTTGGTGATCTTATTCTTAAAGCAACTGAACCACAAATGATTCTATTTAATCTGTATGATGATTGGTTGAAAACAATTTCATCGTATACAGCATTTTCACGTTTGATTCTCATTCTACGTGCATTACATGTAAATAATGAACGAACTAAAGTAATATTGAAACCAGATAAAACAACCATAACCGAACCACATCATATTTGGCCAAGTTTAACGGATGAAGAATGGATTAAAGTTGAAGTACAATTAAAAGATTTAATTTTAGCTGATTATGGTAAAAAGAATAATGTTAATGTAGCATCATTAACACAATCAGAAATTCGTGATATTATTCTTGGTATGGAAATATCGGCACCATCAGCACAACGACAACAGATTGCTGAAATTGAAAAACAAACTAAAGAACAATCACAATTAACAGCAGTAACAACCAGAACTGTTAATAAACATGGTGATGAAATTATTACATCGACAACATCGAATTATGAATCACAATCATTTGCAAGTAAAACTGAATGGCGTATTCGTGCTATTTCGGCTACAAATCTTCATCTACGTACTAAACATATTTATGTTTCATCCGATGATATTAAAGAAACTGGTTATACTTATATATTACCGAAAAATGTATTGAAAAAATTTATTATCATATCGGATCTTCGTACACAAATTGCCGGTTATATTTATGGTATTTCACCGCCGGATAATCCACAGGTAAAAGAAATTCGTTGTATTGTAATGCCACCACAATGGGGTACACATCAAACAATACATTTACCAAATCAATTACCACAACATGAATTATTAAGTGAATTAGAACCACTTGGTTGGATACATACACAGCCAAATGAATTACCACAATTATCACCACAAGATGTAACAACACATGCTAAAATAATGATGGATAATCAAACATGGGATTCGGAAAAAACTATTGTCATTACCTGTTCATTTACACCGGGTTCATGTTCATTAACAGCTTATAAATTGACACCAAGCGGATTTGAATGGGGCCGTCAAAATACTGATCGTGGTAATAATCCAAAAGGTTATCTACCATCACATTATGAAAAAGTACAGATGCTTTTGTCGGATCGTTTTCTTGGATTTTATATGACACCGGCACAATGTTCATGGAATTATAATTTTATGGGTATGTTTTTCTGGTCTTTCCTTAAATTGAATTAATTATCTTTTGTTTTATTTTATTACCATAGGTGTACGTCATGATCCATCAATGAAATATGAATTACAATTATCAAATCCAAAAGTTTTCTATCATGAAATTCATCGTCCAGCACATTTTTCAAATTTTACAACAATCGATGAATCGGATTATGTTGGTGCAGATCGTGAAGATGTTTTTGCTTAAGAAAAACAGAAACTAAAACAAACAAAAAATTATTGAATTCTTTATTCTCATTTTTTTTATTAAAAATTCATTCTTATCATCACTCTTGAATTAATAATAAAAATAATTACAAAAAAAACTTCGGACTATATTGATTTTTTTTAATTGAATTGAGAAAAAAAAATGTTTTTGCTTATTTTGTTGTTTGCATTGTTTTTTTTAATTTTCACTTCAAAATCCTTTTAAATGATTAGGCATACGAATAATTGGTTGCATTGGAAACATTAATGATGATGTTATTGGTTGATAACGCCACCAAATTGATGAACCACGTTTAATTTCACCACGTGACCATAATGTTTGCCAACATTCTAACCAATTTAAATGTTCAGGTGCTGTATATGCAGATGCAGCTAATGAACGACAATTATGACCATTACATGCCATAACGGTTGATACAACTTTAAATGGATATACTAATGTTCGTGCAATAATATTAACGAATGTATTCGTTATAAATGATGAATTTGATTTGGCAATACCAAATTGTTCAAATTTTTCACGTAATGTATACATTAATGATGATTCAAGAAATATGAAAACACATTCACCAATTACATATGGTGCAAATCCAGCATAGAAACCAAGAAGACCACTGGTTTCATAAATATCTGAAATAGCACCTGATAGTGTATCATAATATGTTTCACGACCAATAAATTGTGCCATCGATCGAATCATAATCAAATGAATTGGATAGGCAACTGATAATGAAACTATCCTGGTCATCGAATCACAGACTATACTACGTGCCAAATGATTTGTATCAATATATTTTGCATCTTCGATTCGAAGTTCAGGATAATAATTAGCTTTTTGATAACGATCAACATTGATCGATGTAAATTGATAGATAATCGAATAGATGATATTATATTTTAGACCACGATAACAGCCCCAAAAACCATCAATTTGTGCAATATATTTCATATAGGTAAAAAATCCGGGTAATTGTAATTGAGTACGTCCAAATATTGATTTAGTTAATTTTGGTGGCATTGGTTCATAACCGATTCTAACCAATGTTCCCATATACATTACCGGATGTGTTATTAAACCAGGACGTGGTAGAATATCACCAACAACAGCATATGAATTAAGAACCGGTGTATTGAGCAATCGTTCGATTGTTTCAAACACAGATTCTTCTTCATCATCATCATCGATATCAATTCGTGGTTGAATAGAGGCCATTTGTTTTTTCGGTTGGTTGATTATATTGTGACAGTGAAATGAAATAACGATAATTCACGAAAAACCAAGTAATTTTCAATAATCATTTGGATTATTTTATCAGTCAGATGATCAGCTTGCTTTTTTTTCTGTAACAAAATCAATTATCGATTGTATCGCGATATCATACATACACATTGTATTTTGAATAACTCAAATTCGAAAATTTCAATGAATTAATTACATAATGTTGATGTAATTTAGATACCACCATATTGATTTGTTTGGATTTTATGTAATTTTATGAGATAAGTGATGATGATAAAAAGAAATTCTGTTCAAAAAAAATTGCAATAAAAAAAAATAATTGGGATGCCCCGGGTGAGGCTCGAACTCACGACCTTCAGATTGCTTATATTTTTTTGATTATGAGACTGACGCGCTGCCTACTGCGCTACCGAGGCAGACTTCTTGAACGCCCAATTGGGCAGTCTGAGGCAATCCTTATTAACAGGGAACCAAATTAATAATTTTAACCAAAAAAAATTACAAAATTTTTACAAAACGCCAAATACCATGTCATTCATTCATCATTGTTTCTTTTGGTGAATTGTTAAAAAAAAAATTTCATTTACAAGTTTTACATAATATATTAAGAATCAAGGGAAAATTTTGGAGCCAAAAAAAAAAAAAAAAAAAAATCGAATGAATGAATGAATCTTTTTGGGAAACAATCGATGACGACAATCGATTATCATTTTGTGTGTTTGGGGTGGATAACTGTCATATGAATGTTTTTATTTATTTAAAGGGAAAAATTTTTCCTTTTTTTTTTTGATGCAATCGATCGATCGATTGATCGAATAAATCGAATAAAAGGTACAACCGTTATACGAAAATACTCGTTATTGTTTTCAAAAATTGAGATTTTGTTTTTGTTTTAATTTTGTGAAATTTAAAAAAAGTTAATTAATTAATTATCAATCATGTCATCATTTTTATCATTGGCTAATCAATTCTTAACGAAAGTATTTGCATTAGAACCATATTCAGTTGTTGAAGTTAAAATTGAAGATTATAATCATTATGATATAATGGCAAGAGAAGAAACATTAATTCTTTATTCATATTGTAATAATAAAAATCAACAACAATATGAAATGTTATTACATCGTGAAAATTCAACATTACGTACAGCATTCAGTTTATATCGATCATTAAAAAGTGATGAAGCACAAATATATTTTTTACGTTTAAAAGATAAATTGCCAATATTTGTAAATCGATTTCCAAATATTTTATCTATATCATCATTACAAGAATTATGTAAATATATTAATATGAATCCAACACAAAATATGGCACATATTTGTTCAAATTTTGGTTATATTGATTATTTTCGTCAATTACCTAATGAATATAAAGATAATATTCAGAAAATTAATGAATTATTAAATCAACAAGATAAAAATGATGGTAAAACATGTTTACAGATTGCCATTGAACAACAACGTTTAAATATTTTACAGACAATATTTGCAATACCAAATGTTGAAATAAATTTCACTTTAGTCGATAATTTTGGTAATAATCTTTTACATATTGCTGCACAACAAAGTAATGGTCAAATTGTATCATTATTATGTCAAACAATTCGAATGAATTTAGGTAATGATATATTGATGGAAATTATTAATGTAAAAAATCGTGAAAATTTTGCACCACTTTATCTTGCATGTTCAAATGATAAACCTGCTTGTGTAAAAGAATTATTAAAAAATGGTGCCGATGTTAATGGCGCTTCCATACAGGATAATAATAATAATAATAATAATAATGATGGAAAACAAGGACGAGATTCATTATCATCATCATCAACACCAACATCACGTGATGAAAGTCCATCATCTGATAATATGAATAATGATCGTTTAATCAATATGTTGAATGTAAATGATATGAAAAATGGTGGTACACCATTACATTGGTGTAAAAGTTCCGAAGTAATTGAAATGTTAGTCGAACGTAATTGTAATTTGAATGCAAGAAATTTTCATGGTGATACTGCATTACATCATATGGTTGCTCGGTCAGATTTGAATTGTACAATATCATTGTTGGGACATGGTGCTGATGTTAATGCTTCAGGTGCTAATGGTAATACACCACTTCATGTTTCAATCAAAGCTAATAATACAACTATTGTACAGGCATTGATTGTATTTGGTGCACAAGTTGATTTAAAAAATTCAAGTGGTCATACAGCACGTCATCTGGCTGCAACAAGTCAACAATCACCAGCAAAAGATACAATTCTTTATATTTTACATTCAGTTTGTGCACGAAGATGTTCATCAACAACAACAACATCATCGACAACAAAAAATTGCAATGAAGGTTGTGGTCAAGGTTTTCATTATAATGGTGTACCACCAGATAATCCATTCATACGTAATCAACCATTATTTGATCGTATTCTACTTGGTGATGTTGTTAAAAATAATTTAGAACAAAATCTTCATTCAGATATGGATATCGATAAAGATAATACTGTTGATGGTGATAATAACGATAAAAATTCTTCACAACAACAACAAAAACGTAAAAAAATTAAATTATTATCAATGGATGGTGGTGGAATACGTGGTTTAATTCTGATACAAATATTATGTCATCTAGAATTGGTAACTGGAAAACGTATTATCGATTTATTTGATTGGATTGCCGGTACAAGTACCGGTGGTATATTAGCATTATTACTTACCACTGGTTATTCAGCTAAACAATGTCGTAATATTTATTTTTTACTTAAAGATAAATTATTTATACGTTATCGACCATATTGTTCTGATACATTTGAAAAATTTTTACAAAAATATCTTGGCTCAGAACGACGAATGAATGAATTTGATCGACCAAAATTATTAATACCAGCAACAATTGTTGATAATTTTCCACCGACAGCAAAATTTTTTCGTAATTATTCAAACAGTTTGGATTTATTAAATGATAAAAAATCTGATGATGATAATGATGCTGATAATAATGAATTATTATGGAAAGTTGCACGTGCAACCGGTGCTGCTCCAACATATTTTTCACAATTTGAATCATATCTTGATGGTGGTTTGATTGCAAATAATCCAACTATGGATCTTTTACATGAAATACAATTTCATAATCGTTCGACAGAATTTTTCGTAAGTGATGATCAATTGTGAAAACGAAATTCAATTTTGATTTTTCTTCTTTTTTTCCCAAATTTCAAGGATAAAAAATGTGATAATATTTATGATATTGATCTTGTTGTTTCGATTGGTACTGGTCTTATACCTTCAAAACCGATTGATAAATTAAATTTTAGTCCATTATTTTCATTTTCTGGTCTATCAAATTTTGCAACAAATTTTCCAAATCTAATCAAAGTATTAGTTGAACAAGCATCATTAGCTAATGGACGGGTTGTTGATCGTGCACAATCATGGTGTTCAATGATTAATGTACCATTTTTTCGTTTAAATCCAGCAATATCCGAAGATATTCAAATGGATGAATCGGATAATATAAAATTAATTAATATGTTATGGGAAACAATGGCTTATATTTATATGAATAATGATGATATGAGTTCATTGATTAGTTTTCTATTAAATGAACAATAATCATAATCATCATCATCATCATAAATCGTCAAAAATTAATCTGTCAAATTAATGAATTCCATTACAAAAAAAAAATTACAAATTTAAAAAAAATGATCTTTTTTCGAATGTTTTTTTTTTGTTTTGTTTTCGAACAGATTCTGCGCATTTCTATTTTTTTGTGTTTCGTGTTCAATATTGCGAGAGATTGAGCACAAAACAAGGAATGTAATGATGATTTGTAATTAAATTCTAATTAAAATAATAATTATAATCAAATGTGAATATAAAATCTATTCAAATAATTTTATCATCATCATCATTGTTTGTTTGTTTGTTTGATGTCAATGTAAATCCAATTATATCGAATTGAATGCAGGGGGAGAAAAAAACAACAACGATGATGAATAAAATGTTGATTACGTTTGTTCAATGCTGATTTTGTATGTATGTGTGCTTATCGACTATGATTAGACTTTATTTATTTTGTTAACCATCATCGTCATCATCATCAACTACATTGGATTAGAGAAGGAAAAAAACATTGTGTCTAACGGTTTATTGTCACACAACATACAACAACAACCTGTGTATATTTGCCCATTTCAAAAAATTGTCATAAAACAAATTCTTTACTGTTTTGGTTGAGCAAAACCGGATAGAAAAAAAAGGAAACGTTTCTGTTGTTGTTATTACGTTGTGTTTACGTGTGTTTGTTATTTGGCTAAAAAAACATTTATTCATTGATTCAATTTTGTCAATCATCATTTGATTAAACGAGAAAAACATTGAACAAACAAAAATGGATCCAAACATCAACAACAGCAGTGATGATAATATTCGTCATCATATTGATACAATTATCAATAAATCATTTTTAATTTTAGATCAAATACATGAATCATATTTTCCATTTTTAGAAAAATCAATATATCTATCAATGTCAACAAATTCAATGATGATTGAAAAAATTGATAAAGCAAAAATTTCAAAAACTGAATTTATCATTCAACAACGTATTAAATATGTGATAAAAAATTGTGAACAATTAGAAGTAATGTTAACAAAACTATCGACAAATAATCCATCCAGAACAGATCTTTTAAATCGTTTAAATCAATTAAGGTAAGTTTTTTTGTTTTTGTCATTTTGATGTTTTGATTTTTCATGTTTATCATTATTAAATCGAATAGATCCGAACAGAAACGTATTTGGTCAGCATTTAAAGCAATACAATTAAAACGTTTGGAAAAAGAACGTTTACAAAAAGAACAAGAAGAATCATTAACAAGACGATTTATTACGACAAATACATCATCATCATCATCTTCGACAACAACAGCAACAACAAATCAACAAAAACAATTTTCCAATTTGAATAAAAATTGTGGTGATCAATGTTCAAATCATCAGCATCTTACATTGAATATTGATAATGATGGTGATAATGATAATCAAATTAATGATCAATATAGTCCAACTAGTAAAGATAAAATATTATCATCATCATCAACATTGGCAACTTCATTAACATTATCATCATCATCGTCTGGTTCGAAATTATTACGAAATCAACGACCATTAGTCAAACGTGTACGAACTAGATATTTAAATTTTTTAACAAATGATTTTTTTGGTTCGAATACAAAATCATTTTTACGTTTATCATTATTATCATCATTTTCATCATTTGCCGAATGGATTCTTTTGCTAGCATTATGTCTAATATTTATTGGTTTATTTTTATTGATTATTTGGCAAACATCATTAACAACAACATCGATAACAACAAATAATCGATTGTGATAATCGATACTATCATCTAGTCGTCTTTCATCAACATCCCATTGATGGATTCGAATCGATTTGCAATGAAATTTGTTTTTGTTTCCGTTTTTTATTTGGTTTTTAAAAAAATTTATAATAAACATTACTTTTTTTGTAATTCTAATTGTGAATAACGAATAATTTTGATTGGAATATTTTCAGTTATAATATGATTATCATCCAGTATGATTACAATTTTAATTTCAAATTCAATTTTAAAATTATTTGTTATCAATGTTGGACAAGCGAATAAACGTGGAAATATCATATAAATTGGTAATGGAACCAATCGGCCAATATCACCATCACCAATTTGTATATTTTGTATTTCGGTTATTTCACATGCATAACCTTCAGCACAACCACATGTTTCAATACGAACTAATTGTAATTCAATACTTTTGATTAATTGTTCACAATGTTCAATAATTAATTCGCCGGTAAATGGTTCACCAATATAGCAAATTGTTGAATCGATAAGACCTTTGATGCGAAATTTCGGAACACGATTTTTATCACGTACATTTTGTATTGATTCAGGTGTTAATTGAAAATTTAATGGCTTTGTACCAGTTGTTCGTCCAAAACTGATTAGATTTTTTATTGATGATGAAATTTCATTATTTGGTCGATTATATTCGATAAAAAATTCAATAATTTTTTGTATATCTTTATTTAACATTGGTCGTTTTAATTCACATTTTAGTAGATATTGTATGGTTATAAATACACCATGATATGTTTCATAAAGTTGACGATTCAGTTTTGGTTTCAATAAAACTTCAAACGGTATTTCTGTTTTGCCTGATGGTAGCCGGCCATTTTTCGAAATTTCAACAAATTGATTGATCAATGTGATTGGCTTTGTTGATTTGGGAGAAAAATCAAATTAATTTTGCTCAACAAACATGATGATTTTTGGTATACCTTGGCCGAATTATAAAAAGCTTCAAAAATGCCAACATTTTTCGTACTTAATTGCATTTGTACGGTTGCATCAACACTTAATGAAATTCCTTCATGTTTGGAATCGGATTTTGAATCAATCACAATGACACCAATTAGGCTTTCCTGATTTTAAAAAAAAAATTCAAAATTCAAATAAAACAAAACATCATTATCGTTTTTGAAACATACGCCTTCAGTATAAACTTTATTCGATCGTTTTAATCGAATGTCTAATTCCATAATCGAAAAGAAAAATAAACTTTTTGAAAAAAAAAATTCTTCAAGAAAAAAACGCCCGAAGCAAAACAGCTGGTCAAGTTCCAGAAAACAAAATCGGCAACAACAGAAAAAAATAACAGACGAAGGAAAAATTTCCCGGGAAAAAAATTTAAAACTTTATTTGAGAAAATTTCTCGGGAAAACACCAATGTATAACGAGAAAAGAAAAGCGAGAAAAAAAAAACAAAAAACCACCGAAGAGCACGCCATATTTTTATTATGTGTGATGCGGGGGTTATGCACCACCACAAACAGCAGCAGCATTTTTTCAATACAAAGTTGTGTGTGGTTGGTTGGTTGGTGGTTTCACCAAAAGATTTTTGTTGTTGTTTTTTTGTTGTTTTTGTTTTTGTTTTCGGAATTAATATCCGCCGCCTTTCGCCGCATCGGTATAAAAAACACTGCCATTCTGATTGTTCCTGGAACAAATTTTCCGGGACAAATTTTCTATCATCGATTCTGTATTTCGAAAAACGTTCGAAACAAAAAAAAAAAATAACGAACGTCAACACGTGTTTGTTTATGTGTGTGTGTTGTGTTTATGCGGCCGATTTTTTTTTCGATTTCGAATGTAAAAAATTTTATTTATTTTCAGCATTTTTATTTTGCCTTATCAACCAAATTTTCATTTCATTTTTGTCAAAAGAATCTATATCAACTTATGTAAAATATATAATAGGATGTTAACGAATTTTTCAATTGAATTTAACCGATAAGATTTTTCAACAACAACAAAAAAGTTTCTACAATCAACACTATCATCTTTAATCATCATGGCAATGATTGACGGTATAAATAAAACATCATTTGATACGGGAAATAATGTTAAAAATATTTCCAATCATCATCATCATCATTCGAATCATCAGAATCAAGGTTCAATACTATTTCATAACAATGTTCAGGTAAGAATGAATTTAAAGATTTAATGATTAATTAATTTCGATTATTCAAATTGAAGGTTGCAAATATTTGTCCACAAATATCATCGTTTTTAAATAATAAAATTGATTTCAAATCGGAAAAAGATTTTATCAATGATAATGTTAATGATAAAGATAATAAATCAGATGATCAGGATGATGATTATTCAACATCGATTGAAAAATTAAAGAAAAAATATACTGTACTTACATCAACACAAGCCGATCGATTTCAAACGAATGGCAGCTCATCTGAATCTGGTGGTCATCGAAAATTTGCTTCAATTCACAAATCGACAACAACAACATCAACATCATCACCAAGAAAAAATTGCTCAAATGATAATGATAATGAAATGAGTGAACCAAAACGTATACTATTTCCACGGGAAAAAATTTCAATGGAATGGCGTAAAATATCATCAATTGGTTCAGGTTTACAAAATCTAGGCAACACTTGTTTTGTTAATTCAGTTTTACAATCACTTACATATTGTCCACCTTTAGTTAATTTTCTAATTACACATCATGATGAACATATTTCATTATGTAAGTATTGATTTGAATTGATTGGATTTTTTTTTAATGAAATCAATTTTTCAGGTCAAGCATCATTCTGTATGATATGTGTTATGTATAAACATATATCGGCAGCATTAATGAGTAAAATACCTGTCATCCAGCCAAATTATATTTGTCATCGTTTAAAATCGATTGCTTCACATTTTACATTCGGCCGACAAGAAGATGCACATGAATTTTTACGTTATGTTATTGATAAAATGTGGCGTTCATGTTTAACTTGTCATGAAAAACAATATGGTCTACCTGGTTTGGTTATGAAATCTGATCACCTTACAAAAGCAACTACTGCCATTAATCATATATTTGGTGGTTATCATCGTAGTCAAGTTTCATGTACACAATGTAAAGCTGAAAGTAATACATATGATTATTTTATGGATTTTATGCTCGATATACAGGTAAAATATTCCAAAAACATTTATTTTGGTTTTTTAAAATTGTTTTGTTTGCCTTATCCCATATATATAACAGAATGTATCAAGTTTGGAACAAGCATTACAAAATTTTGTTAATCCAGAATTTTTACGTAATGAAAATGCATATAAATGTTTAAAATGTAAAAAATCTGTTGTTGCAAAAAAACAATTTACCGTTTATCGTGCACCAAATGTTGCAACATTCCAATTGAAACGTTTTGATTCAAATCGTACATATACAAATAAATTGGTAAAATTTGTTTCCTATCCTGAAACATTAAATTTACGGCCATATATGTCAGAGAAGGTATGTTGTTTTTTTTCCTTTAAAGTAAAAAAAAATTATTTGGTTTATTCATTTTAATCCAGGGTCCACCATTAATGTATAAATTAATTTCGGTATTAATACATCATGGTCAAACATGTAATTCGGGTCATTATTATTGTTTTGTTCGTAATTCAAATAATTGTTGGTATCGTATGGATGATAATCATGTTTCACAGGTTGGTTTGAATGAAGTTTTACATCAAAAAGCCTATATATTGTTTTATATAAGACAAAATTCAGAAAATTCAATACGAAAGGTAATGTTCATTTTTTGTTGTTGTTGTTGTTGTTTTATAAAAATCTTAATTGAATTTTTAATTATCAATATTAGATGAGTGATAATTCAATGAAAATGTCAAATTCTGCCTCAAATCAAAAATGTGATATAATCAACAATAATCAATCGCCTCAAAAATTATCTAATAACGGTATATTTAATTCGAATTTTAAATTTCAACTTCACACAACCAATCAATCACCATTGAAAACATCTGTACATTTACAAAAATCGAATATACAATCGATAACCAAAACAAGTGATAATAAGCAACAATCAACACCAACAGCTAATCATTTGGTTAAATTGAATACGAATAAGATTAACAATGGTCTTGTACCGTATAATGATGATGATAATCAAAATGATGCCGAATCATCATCATCATCACAGAATAATAAACAACCAAAAATAACAACACCATCAACAGTGATTAGACTTAATACGTCTAGACCAACTGTTACAATAAGCCCTAAAGATAAATCTGGCCATTCCGGTAATAATAGTAATAATAAAGATGGAATATCTTTGCTAAAACAACCAAGTCAATCATCATCATCGTCGACAACAGTTTTATCTTCAACGACAGCAACAAAAGAACCAAAAATTGCAATCAAAGTAAAAGCAACAACCAATTCATGGAAAGTTGTTGCGGCTACACAAATATCACCACCCACCTCATCATCATCATCGAGAATTCAAGAAAATCCAGCCGCTGAAATGTTAAAATTGAAAAATCGAATCGAATCAATTAATACTAATTGGAGAATTAGTAAAACTACTTCCAGTAATAGTAGTAGTAGTGATGAAATCAATGCCCAAAATAATAGTTCCAATAGTAATAGTGTTACAGAAGATTCTTCTAATCGAACTGAAAGTGATAGAAATTTAAATGATAATGAAAACACTGCCGAAATAGTTTCATCAAAACAACAGCAAACTTTGATGATCAATGATAATAGTAAATTATCATTGAAGAAAAAGAAAAAACGAAAGAAAGAAAAATCACGAAAACGTAAACATAAAGATGATGACCAGAATGTAGATGACGATAATGATGATGATGATGATATGGAATTGAATTGGGTTGAACGAACCAAAGAAACATTGGAAATGGAAAATGGTATAGGTAATTAACAAAATGTTGTTTTTTTCGATTTGAATATTTTTAACAAAATTCTCTTTTCTAATCAGATCGAACATTGAATGAACATAAACGATTGAAAACCGAATCATCATCATCATCATCTAAATCAAATGTTCTTGATGTTTTACTGAAAAATGTTTCAAATGGATATGGTGAAGGTAGGTTGATTTTTCTTTTAGCCATCAATGTTTTTACTGATTTGTGATTTATTGATTAGTTAAATCTTGGAATGGCGGTGTTTCGATTCTACAAAAATCTATGCTCGATAATAAACAACATAATGTCAATGCTGATGATGATAATGATTTGTATAATGAAGAATTTGATCAAGGAAAAGTGAGTTTTTGATTTCGTTTTGTTTGTTTTGTTTTACTAATTTTCATTTATTTCAACCATTCTTCTCAATAGACGATTAAAGTTCGTAACAAAATTGATCCATTTAAAAATGCATCAACAATCAATGGTATAAATCCATTTCAAAAGATACAACAATTAAAATATGGTAATAATAATGGTGATAATAAACATTATTATAATTCTGGAAATAATGGTTTTGGTGGTAAAAAATTTAAATCAGACAAAAATCATCATCATAATAATAATAACAATAACAACAAATATCATTATAATTCGACAAAATCAAATCGATTTCATTCATCATCATCATCATCCACATCGAACCATCATGGTCATCATCATAATAATTTTCATCATAATCATCGTACAAAGTCGTCGTCGTCTTCATCAACATCATCATCATCATCATCATCATTCAAATATCGATGAAATTCTATTTGGTTTATTCATAGATTCATCTCAGATATCGTATTTTAACCGAAAAAAAACAAACAATTTTTTGTCATCGTCGTCATGTATTATTTATATGATATGATATGATAACAATAATCTTTCATCCAAAATCAATTCGATGGTTCCTGTTTTCTCTGTCTTTTTCACATTTCTAATATAAAATTTGATGAATAAAATACCCTCGCTTTTGTATCATTATTTTATTTTTTTTTCTGGATTGAAATAAATAAAAAAACATTGCTTATTTTTTTAAAGAAATTGAGTAATAAATGAGACAATTTTTATTGCTGCTGTTGTTTTTTTTTTTGGTCCAAATTGTTGGATCGAAATTGGTCATAAAATAATATGCGCCGAAGCATTTTTTTTTCGGTAATTCAATGTTGTTTGCTATTCTCATCGTTTGTTATTTACATTTTTTTATTGGTTATTTTATTGTCGCTCTTTTTTTTTAATATACCCGGCTTATGATAATATCCGAACGGACGAATTCGAATGTTGTCTTCGTGTGTGTGTGTGTGTGTGTGTGGTGTGAAGTGATGCTGAACCGAATAAAACAAAACAAAAAAAAACTGGCTCTTTACCAATTTCGAAAGTTGTAACATAAGAAAAATCATCAGCATCATTCTTAAATTGAATCTTTTTTTCTTTGAGTGTGTTTTTTGAGAGAGAGAAAATAAAAAATATGAATGACAGCAAAGAATTCATAACGAATGATGCAATAAATAATCATATCAATGATGATGATGATGATGATGATGGTAATGAAAAATTATCATCCGGTAATAATAGTTCATTAATAATACGACAATGGTTACAAAAAAATTTTGATTTTGATAAAAATCGTGATCAATTACGTGAATCATGTACAAATCTTTTCTATCGTAATGAAAATAAATCCGATATTGTTGATAAATATGATTTGATTATTACATTCAAACAGCAACAACAACATTCCACCAATGATAATGATGATGATTTGAACATTGAATTAATCAATAATCTAATGATACATCTTCGTTTGGATTTTCCTGGTATTATGATTGAACTGCGTAAACATCATCGATATCAATATGCATTATATGTTGGTGGAACGAATCAATTTTTTGAAAAATATATTGAAAAAAAGAATCGATTATCCAAAAAATCCAATGATGATGATCAACATTATCGATATTTTCCATTTACAAATATATTTTCTTCACTGCAAAGACAAACAATTTTAATTGATTTATTAAGCAATTGGCGATTCCATCAACGTAATGATAATGAAAATGTAGATGATAAACTTGCATTGTATATGGCTGAAAATGATTTGATTATTGATAAATTATTACAAACAAATCAAATTATTGATCAATTATTTGCCTTACATCATGAACAAGATTTAGATCAATTGAAAATGAATTGGGTGGCAAAATTTTTCCATCAACAACCATTAGATCAAATTTGTTCATATTTTGGTATTCGTATTGCAATATATTTTGCATTTATCGGTTTCTATACTGAATATCTTGTTTATCCAATGTTATACGGGATATTTATTGTTTTATTTCCATATTTGTTCGATTATTTACCTTCAATTTCATTATTCAATTTGATCGATTTAAATTGGCAATATTTTCATTGTATTATTTCATTTTTATTTCCTGTATTCAATATATTTTGGTCAACATTATGGTTAAATCGTTGGCAAACTAATTGTCATCGATTGACTAAACGATGGATTCGATTCATACCTGAATGGTCAAAAACTAATGATAACAATGATGATGATAATGATGATAAAAGTGAACGTAGAAATGATGATAATAATCATAATCAATTTATTGATTTGATTGAAAAAATATTTCAATATTGTTTTACATTTCCAATTATTGGTTTTTGTTTGATTTTAACATTTACAGTTATGTTTAAAATATTTATCTTTCAGGTAAGTCTGATCGATTGATTGATCGATATCTTTTATTCACAATAATGAATTTAATTTTTTGTGATTTTCAAAGACATGGTGGGATGAAGAATTAATCGAACGATTACATTATCCAACGTGGACCGGTATTATACCGAAAATAATATTTGCATTAATATTGAATGTTATCAATTATTTTTACTATTTAATTGTTATATGGCTTAATGAAAAAGGTATTTCGATTTGATTGATTTCATTTGATATTTTTAATATTTTGTTTTGTTTTGGGGGTGGGGATGGCAGAAAAACATCAAAATTTCGAACGTAAAGAAAATCAACTTATTGTTAAACTTTTTCTGGTATGTAATCAATGTCTTTTTCTGGGAAAATTTTCTAATTTTCTTCAAAACTTCCTTTTCACATTTCAATTTTCCAGTTTCAATTTCTTAATTCATATTTACCATTATTTTATATTGCATTCTATTTGACCGATATGAATAAATTAAAAGAGGTTTGTTTGTTTTGGGATTTGAATTTGACTTACTTCTGATTATAATCGATAATCATTTAGCAATTAGCAGCACAATTAATCACAAGACAAGTAATTGGTAATCTTAATGAAACATTATGGCCATTTATAAAAGAATCAATATTACTTGCATGGCTTTCATCATCTAAATCTAATAATAATAATAATGGGAAAAATAAAGATAACGATGGTAATAATGAAACAACCGAAAATGAATTATCAAAAGGTGAATTAGAATCATGTATGTATGGTTATCATACAACATTTGATGATTATTTGGAAATCATTATACAATATGGTTATATAATGTTATTTGCAACAATATTTCCATTAGCATCATTATGTGCATTTTTAAATAATCTTATTGAAATACGTACGGATGCATTTAAACTTTGTTTTGTTTATCAACGACCATTTATTGATACAATTATTATTAGTCGTCATCGTCATCATCGTAATCATCATAATCGTCATCGACAATCACCAACAATAACAATTGGTGTTTGGAAAAATGTTCTTGAATTTTTGGGTATTATTGCAATTATTTCGAATTGTGCATTAATGGCCATCGACAATGGACAACAACAACAATTTGGTTGTCTTTTTTCATCATCATCATTGATGGAACATTCCGAATATCGTATTATTTTTGCCGTTATTATTGAGGTTAGTTACCGATAGATGGCGACCGAGGTTTAAAAAAACTTTTTTCTTATTTTTCTGATTTTCAATTTTTTCAATCAGCATATATTATTATTGATAAAATGGCTAATTCCGATCATATTTCCAATCAATATTCCATCATCATCATCATCATCATCGACGTAATCCACATGATCCACATGTTAATGATGATGATTATGCTGAAAAAGAAATGGTCACGAATAATCGTGTGATTTATTTTTTGACATCACTATTCAATCATCATCTTCTTCTTCTTCTTCGGTTATTATCATTACGTTATGGTTGTATAATTTATTTTTTTCCCTTTTCCTAAATAAAATGAATCGATTAAGAATTCAATTGTTCAACAAAAATATAATCTATTAATGAACTTACCATGTTGATGGAAAATGATGATGAAGAAGAACCAACCAGGGTGGCCAATTGATTATCATTCCAAATTCAATCCATAATGATCAATGATGTCATTATGCAAACACACACACAAACTGCATGTTGTAAACTGGTTTTCTATTGTTTTTGTTTCTGATCATCATCATCATCGAATCAACAAAAACAAAAAAAAAACATTCAATTTGTGACATGTTCATCATTATTAATCGATGATGATGATGACAGATTGGTTGGTTTGGTTTGGTCAAACATCAAAATGAAAAAAACAAACATGATTTGTAATCATCTTAAGTATTTTTCGGGATGATTTTTTTTTTGTTTCTTGTTTTATTTTTATCAACTTTATATTGGTTTGCCGTACAAGTAATTAGTCTTTCGCCAACCAAACCAAAAACATCACCTGAATAATGATGATGATGAAAGAAATTATTTTAGCCAGGCACCATCATGATGATGATGAAAACATCGTTTTGTTAATCATTATTATCATCATTATCATCATCAATGTTGTCGTTCAACAATCCCCAATGATGATGAATGAATAAAGTAAACTAAAAGGAAATAATAAATAAATATCCAAACAACAAAAAAAAATTAATGCACGCCTAATTCGTTAATGATGGATAATGTTTGTTGTTTGTTGTTGTCGAATAATGATGGACATCGAATTGAATTGATGATGGCAACAGAAAAAGATGATCTTCTTTTTTTTTNAACCAACCAGGGTGGCCAATTGATTATCATTCCAAATTCAATCCATAATGATCAATGATGTCATTATGCAAACACACACACAAACTGCATGTTGTAAACTGGTTTTCTATTGTTTTTGTTTCTGATCATCATCATTGAATCAAAAACAAAAACAAAACCATTCAATTTGTGACATGTTCATCATTATTAATCGATGATTATGATGATGATGACAGATTGGTTGGTCAGTTTGGTTTGGTTTGGTCAAAACATCAAAAAGGAAAAAAAACAAACATGATTTGTAATCATCTTAAGTATTTTTCGGGATGATTTGATTTTTTTGTTTCTTGTTTTATTTTTATCAACTTTATATCGGTTTGCCGTACAAGTAATTAGTCTTTCGCCAACCAAACAAAACCAAAACATCACCTGAATAATGATGATGATGCTGATGATGATGATGATGATGAAAGAAATTATTTTAGCCAGGCACCATCATCGTTTTGTTAATCATTATCATCATCAATGTTGTCGTTCAACAATCCTCAATGATGATGAATGAATAAAGTAAACTAAAAGGAAATAATAAATATCAAAAAAAAAAAATTAATGCACGCCTAATTCGTTAATGATGGATAATGTTTGTTGTTGTCGAATAATGATGGACATCGAATTGAATTGATGATGGCAACAGAAAAATCTGATGATCTTTTTTTTTCTTCTCATTTCGAACGTTATTTGCCCCCTTTATTTCGAACGTTTTTATTCGTTCGAAACTATTTCGACTTCGAAACGTCGTTTTGTTTAAATATGATCACAAGATGATAAAAAATATTGTAAACAATCATTTGATGGATAAGATCATGACCAAATTTTTTTCGTTTCTTATATAATGATTATCGGATGATGATGATGATGATGATTTGGACAAAATTTTCAAACAAACAAACAAACAAACCATCCACACACCTCCTCCTACTCTATTATCATCATCATCATCATTTTGGTTTTGTTTTGTTACCGGGTTTGTTTTTTTTTCACAATCTGTTTTCATGAATTTTCATTCATTCAATTCAATTCAATGTTGATGATGATAATGATAATCATGGTGTGTGTGTAACATGGCCATGTTGAAGATGATGATAATAGGCCATGATATTGTTGTGTTTTGTTACCATATTGTGGTAGATGATAATGACTATTTGATCATCATCATCATCATCGAAAAAAAAGGTAACATCATCATCGACAGAAAAGAAATTTGGCCAAAAACCCGGGTGTCGTAAATCTTGTTTTTTCGTTTCGTTTGGATAAATTTCTTTTTAATGAAAAAAAAAAGAAATGAATAAATCATCGAAACAAGCCAGAAAAAAATTAAAAACATTCTTTAAATATTTTTGGAGTTATGTGTGTGTGTGTTTGAGTGGAAATAGGGGAACGAAGAGAGAAAAAAAAATTACTGTTTACCATCATCAAGATGATGATGATCATCATAATCATCATCATAATCATTATCGTCGACACACGACCTGATCAATGGTTTTAAATAAACAAATGTTGATACAATAAATAAATATTTTTTCTTTTGGCGACTTGATGGCGATGATTTCATATCGATGCTAACGATGATGATGATGATAATATCGTTTTTTAACAAGCTCGAAATTGGAAAAGAAAAAATTACTACTGAAAATGAAATGGACAACAACAAGTCTATTTCAACACCATTATGAGTAGGTGTGTGTGTGTATTTAGCCATTTGGTTGATTTGAAAATTGAAATTTTTTCAATTTTTTCAAAAAAACTTTTTTGCTTTCAGGCAATCAATTACACAAAGAAATAAATATTGATTAGTTATCGATTAATAATCCTTGATGATCATTGATCAAATCGATTTCATTTTTTTAAAAAATCAATTTTTTTTCAATTAAACAGAAATTTCACAAAAAAAAACGAATTGCAAAATTTGATGATGATGATGGGCGACTATTTAGACAGGCATCCTGTCTCAAAAAAAATACACCTGTCTTTTTTTTGAACAAAACTCTAAAATCAATATATTAATCGATGTGTGGTCTTCATCTTCATCATCATCATGAATTACTTATCGAGGATGCAGCAGCAGCAGTCGAAAAAAAACTGATAAGCTTCTTTGTTTATGTTTGTAATTGGATATTTTTTTTTTGTAGAGCAAATCGTTGCATGTCGTTTTTGCCATTGTTTTCCATTTGTTGTTTGTTGGAATTCGTGATTGAATCTGTGTGTGTGTGTTCGTCAGATGAATGAATCACGATTCAATTGGTAAATCGAAATTTGAGAATTTTAGGAAAGAAATAAAGATTTTCGTTTTGTTTTGCATTTTTTGTTTGAGTTTTGGTTATTTGACAACCGGAATCAAATTGAATTGATTACGTCCTTTATGAATTTTGCGTTATTATTTTTTGAAATCAGCTGATTTGAAACATACACGTGCACACGCAAAGTTCAAAATCAGAAATTTGATTTTTTGTTTTTGTTTATTGAAATTTTAATCTTATAAGAAAAAAAAATGGCAACCAAATCATTTTTTGTAACAAAAAATTTACCGGAAAAATTTTTTAAAAATATTTCCAAAAAATTTCCAATGGAAATGTGGCCAAATTCAAATGAAGAAATACCAAGACAAAAATTATTGGAACGTGTTTCAGGAAAATCTGGTCTACTTTGTACCCTATCCGATCGTATTGATCGACAACTGCTGGATGCAGCAGGACCACAACTGAAATGTATATCAACATTATCGGTTGGTTATGATCATATTGATATTGATGAATGTAAACGTCGTGGTATTGTTGTTGGTAATACACCTGATGTTTTAACCGATGCTGTTGCTGAATTAACAATTGCATTATTGCTGGCAACTATAAGACGTTTATTTGAAGCTAATCAAGCACTTCGACAGTAAGTAAATCGTTTGGTTTTTTTTTTTGCTGGTTTTTGTTCGTTTTTTTTGGTGATCATTAATCAACTTTGAATTGAGAACCAGAAAATATGTTGAGAAATTGAACCCGAACGAAAAAAAACATAAATATTGATTGATTTTTTTTTCATTTGAAATTTGATCTGCTTTCACCACCACCATCTTGATCATCAATAGGGTCATAGATCTCCAAGATGATGAAAAAAATTTTCTCAAAAAAAAAGTTTCCAGTAGCACACATTATGTTCGAAAACAATTCATTATCCAAAAAAAAGAATGGCTAAATAGTTTTTGTTTGGTTTGGTTTGATCTAAACACATCATAAATTATTCTTTCCCTTTTTGAAAATTTCATAATTTTGTTGTTTCTGTTTTACCAGAACAGAAACAGAAACCAGAGATTCTTCTCCAGAGATTGCCAGGACATTAAAAAAAAAACTTTGACCGATATTTTTTTTCTGTCAATCGGACACCAGATGATGATAGAAATCTTTGAATTTTTTTTTATTTTCGTTTAATTATTGATCGTTAATGATGGTGATAATTCAATTGAATTGATCGATAATTTTCAAAAACAAAACAAGTGTCTCTGGCTCTCTCTCTCTCTCTCTCTCTCTCTCTGGCTTTGTCTTTGTCTGTATCACCTTTCTCTCCTCATTGGTGGTGGTGGTGGTGGTGGTAATGATATTGATGATGGTAATGGTTGCACAACAACATCCTCAACGACGACAATTATTGTCGGGGAAAAAAAACGATAATTGTCATCGTCGTTGGCAAGCAAGCAAGCTAGACAAATTAACCAGAAAATGTTTTTTTTTCTTCTTCTTCTTTCAAGACTTCTTGGTCATTGCTTGAAACAACTGAAAAACAGAAAAAGATTAATGACATTTTGTGTTTGTCTTGTCTCCAGAAAAAAAAGAAAAAAAGAAATTCTGCTGGCGACAGTATCATGCTGTGTGTGTATATTATATTCATGGTTTGTTTTTGACGATTTTCGGTGTACCATAATAATCATTTTCTTCTTCATTTTAATCGTTTGTTTTGCTTTGGTTTGTTTGTGAATGTCGCAAACAAATTCAGCTAGTTTTCCGAATACAGAGCAAGAGAGAGTCTATACAAGTGAGACAAGTGTGTGTGTCATCACACTTGACTTTTGGTTGTTTTTTTTCAGGATGATGATCTGGCTATCATGACTTTTTTTGTTGCACAAATGTTTCACACACACACACACACAAGAAAATTGATCATGTGTGGATTGAGAATCGAAAAATGATGAATATTATTATTTAAATTAATTTGATTTTTTGCTGTTGCTTTGTGGATCATTTGGAAAATCAGATGGCATCTGTGGTCTATAGATTCTTGGTTCAGAATTTAGTCAAGTTTTTCTTTTTTTTTTTGTTCATTTGAATCAAACATTTTCAATTCTTATGTAATATTGTTTTTTATCATTTGAAAAATTCATTTGAAAATTTTTTTTTCATTGTTGTTGTTGTAGGCGTCGTCCTTGGTTGGTTGATTGATTCAGTGATGATTTTTTTAGATTTTTTTTGTTGTTGTTGAAAAAAAGCCGGATCTATTTCGATCTCTCTCTCTCGGATGTCAGGAAAAAGCTATTTTGCATTACAATGAAAGAATCTTTTTTGAAATAGAATTTATTTACATCCGCGTGTCAGTCATTCATTCAGTGAATTAGTTGAATGTCAACGACGACGACGATAATCGAATGTTGAAAAATTGATTTTTTTTCATTTGTCATTCAAATGAATCGAATTGTCACTCTATATGTGTGCGTGTGTGTTAGTGATTGATCAATTGATTGATTGATTGATTGATGATGATTGTTGTTGTTGTGTGTGTGTGGTCGATGTATGTTCAGTGAATTAATTATAATTCTGATAACGAATTTTTGATAAGAATTATTCCCGAGGAAATTTCTCTTTTACTCATTAATCTTTTTCGGAAATTTTCTTTGTTTTTCTATAGAGGAAAATGGCCAGCTGGTTGGGGACATTTTTTTATGTGCGGTTCAATGATTAAAGGAAGCCATATTGGTGTTATTGGTGGTAGTGGACGTATTGGTCGTAGTGTTATTAAACGTTTACGATCATTTGAACCGGCAAAAATTTCCTATACATCACGTCAAGAATATCCGGAAATGTTTCGGGAATTCAATGCGGAATTCTATCCATTAGATCGATTATTAATCGAATCAGACATAATAATTGTTTGTTGTTCATTAAATGATTCAACCCGGCGATTAATTAGTACGGAACAATTTAAACGAATGAAATCAACATCGGTTATAATTAATACAAGTCGTGGTAGTTGTATAGATCAACAAGCATTATATGAAGCATTAAAATCTAGGAAAATTGCAGCAGCTGGCCTAGATGTTTATGAACAGGAACCAATTTCAATGGATGATCCATTACTTTCATTAGATAATGTTGGTAAGTTTTTTTCGCCACAAAATTCATTTGTCAATGAATCTATTAATCGTACCTGTCAATCAAAAGTAAAATTTCTTATATTTTCATAATCCGAATTCATTTTTCGTTTGTCGAAAGATGTTGATGACCAACAACCACCAAATCTTTATATTGCTGTCAAAACTTATTATCAAATAGATAATTCATTCACATTCAATGTCTGTGTATGATGTTGATGATCATGTTCAATGTTTGATGATGGCCAATGACCACAATGGCGCCAATAAGATTTTTGGCTGCTGCTGCTGCTGTTGATGTGCTGTCAATCATTTTATTTCTGATTTTTTCTTGATCAATAATTTTTCTGTGTGTTTGTGTGGAATGATGATGATCTTTATGAGATGACCACTAAGATTGATAAATTCATAGATAGAATCAGTGGATTTTTGACATTTTTTTTTCTTCAATTTGATGTCAACCTTGTTCACATCATTCAAATTGTTTGTTTGTTTGTTTTTTTTATTAGCTAATAATGATGATGATAATGATAATCTTATCGAAGTTTTTTTTTTACTTGAAAAAAGATTTTACCTTATAAGTGATTTTCTTCTGAAATTTTTGTTTTTCATTCAGTTCAGGTATGGATGTTGGATGATGATAAAACAAGCAAGCAAGCAAGCAATAATCATCATCATTATCACTGTGTGATAATGGCTGTGTGAAAAAAGAATTTTTTTTTTACTACTGTCCTGTCCTGTCTGATGATGATAACAAATAAATCGATCGATCAACCAAAAGTTTGTTTTTTTTTTGATTGACTGATTGATTTGATAAGATTTGACAATTTTGATAAAGAAGAAAAAAAAGCTGTAAACCTGTGAAATGATGATGATGATGCTAATTTGCAAAAAATTTTGAAATTTTTCTCTCTCTCTCTGATCAAATGTCAACCATCAGAATATCCTCATCATCATCATTTGATTATCACAATTTTTTTTATTGAAAATTTATGTTTTCTTTTTCTGAAAGTTTTTTTTCCAAACAAATTTTTATGACTTTGTCAAATGATGATCATGATCATCATTATCGAACGAATTTCAGAATCAGAATCAGTTCATCATGTGACATTCTTTCTTTTTTCTTTCTGATTATCAAATGGTATTTATTTCGGCATTTTTTTCAGTTGATCCTTGTCATCGTCTTCGGTGTTAATTTGCAATTTTACACTCAAAAACTTATATAACGAACAAAAAAAATTGTTATCTAAAATTATAAAGATCATTGCATGTCCAGGTGTATGATAATGATGATTATTATGATGATGATGATGGTAAGGTTTATCTTGTCGTTGTCATCGTCTATTGATGATAATTTTGTCATCAACATCATGATCGTCTAAACACCAATGCTGATACCATTATCATAACCATCAATCTTGATGATGATTCTTTTGAAAATTATTGATTCTTTAGTTATGTCACAGCATTGGACACATGATGAAACGATGATAATAATAATAATGTTGTCACTTGGTTTACTAGACTCGATCGACTTTTTTCAAATTTTTTTTTCTTCTTGTTCAAATTTATGTTGTCATTTGATTGATTGATTAGTTTTTTTCTTTGGTTGGTTGGTTGTTTGGTGAGTAAAATGATGATGATGATAATTATTGTGGTTATAACAGTGGTGGTTAATATCTCAATAATATTTTGTCTGCTGTGTGAAAAAAAGAAAACTTTGTATCCAAAGGGTTAAAAATGTTCATAATGATTATTATTATGGACAAATTATGATAATCATTTTCTTACATTGAAAATTTGTTTTTCGGAGGATTTCAACTTTGGACTTTGAACGTTGATCAATCAATCAGATCAGATCGATCATTTGATGATGATTATTATCGATTCGATCACTATATTTAACCAAGACCACACACACAGGGAATAACATGAATTTCAATCCTTTTCAATAGATAAACACAAATCTTTTATCAAACTTTGGCCCACACACATTTGGTTAGTTGGTGTGTTTAGAGTTTACCTTTTTTATGTTTTTCTCAAAACAAAACCAAAAAAACATCAAAAACGATCCAGGTCAAAATTCAAAAAAAACAAAAACAAAAACAAAAATCAATGGTGATGATGATGCTAGGCAAAAAGAAGAAGACAGAAAAATCCATTAAAATATTTATCTGTTTTGGGTTTTTTCTTGGTTTTCTGTTTGTTTTGAGAATTGAGAAATTATGGAACAAGAAACAAAAACATTGGAAAAACATTTGAAAAACATCAAAAAATCTTCAATATTTTTGAAAGTTTCAAGTGGCTAGGTGTTTTTTTATGGTATTTTTCTTCAAAAATTTCTTCAAACAGAAAAAAAAAACCAATTTGCCCAATGTAAATAAATTAAAGTTTTTTATTTTTCTGGTTTGTTTTTGTTTCCAAACAAACAAAACAAAACAAAACAATATTTGGTCCAATTTTGATTTGTTTCTAAATGTCGAAACATTTTCACTCTCTTCTTCTTCTTTACCTGGCTCTGTTCCAAATGCTGTTAAATTCTTCTTTTGATTGTTTGCACATCATCATCATTGTTGTTTGTTTATAATGGTCGGTATTTTTGCCATAAGACACCTGTGTGTGTGTATGTCTATGTATGTGTTATGAATGTCATCAATCACCTTGTTTATTTGTTTGTTGATGATGAGAGTTGAGTTGTTGATTATAAACCAGTGTTGTTGTTGATCATCAAAAGATTTTTTCTTTTCTTTTCTTTCTGTTCGTCAAAGTTGAAGGCCAAACAGATGATTAGGATGATGATGAAAGTGTCATTCACCATTTATTACCTGTCTAAAACAAAAAAAAAATCCTTTTTCACATCCATCATTCAGCCATCATCATCAAACAACCCGTTTATTATTTTCTTGTTTATCGTTTTTGGTAGAAATATTATTATTCGGCAAATTAAAAAAAAATGATAATTATCATTTTAGAAATAGAAGAAGTAGAAACTACATTTCACACCGAAAACGAAATTACGAATGTTTTTTGTTTGTTTCTATTCTCGATAATGATAATGACGATGACATTGAAAGATTATCATTACCACCACCGACCAGCAAAGCAAACGAATTTACCTTTTGTTTTTATCACTATAGTGTGTGTCTAGTAATGGCCAAAAAAATGAAGATTTTATCAATTTTATTAATCTTTTTCTCTATTTTGTGCACTATATCTACCCATATGGTAATATTATTATAATTATTATCATCGGCGTCTAAATGGCCAGAAAAATGTCTTGTTCAAATGTTTTTAATTGTCTTGTTTTTTGTCACATCATTTATTATAAAATAATAATAATCATTTCATTTCATATTTCTCACTGTTTGTTTGTTTGTTTGTCCAAGTAGCAGTCTCGTTATCACTTTTGACTTGACTTGACTTGCAGTGATTTGAGATGATGATAATCATATCATTGCAAAAAGAAAACAAGTCAAAAGCTTTAACTTTCTGACCAGTATTTAAAATATGTATTTTATTCAACCAATTCTATCTCTCGAATATCATTCTGTGCTTTTTCTCTGTGTTTTGCTGTGTGAGAAAATGAATCAATGCTAACACTTTGTGTATCTGTTATATGTAGGGAATGAAAAGAATGAAAATTTTCATATTTTCCAACACACACACACACCTATATTGTTGTTATAATGATCATTATCATTATCAAAGTCACAAACAACAACAACAACAAAAAACGTTGTGAATCTTTATTTTGATGATAACAATTTTTAATGATGACCAGAACAAAATCCTAATGATAATAACGATGATGATAATGATGATATTGACAATTTTTTTTCGTTGTTGTTGACCCATCTTGCTTTTTGATTATTTTTTGTTTTTTGTTTTGTCCATTTGTTGTTGTTGTTGTTGTTGTTTGTTGTTCATGTCCATATTACATAACGAAATACAACAGTTGTGATGGTAATAATGATGTGTGTACCTTTGTAGATTATGATCATCATTATCATTGTCACCCAAATGATAATGGACAAAAATCATTATAATGAAATAGGAAAAAGATTATTAAAAAATTTGTCGTTTGTCTTCGACACACACCATCATCATTGTTATTATTCTTTGACAGTTTTTTTTTCTGGTTTTTTCTCTCTGTTGATTATCATCAAAATTGACAATAAAAAAAATGATGATTCAAAGATTATAGAGTGGTAAGGTGAGGGATAAAGGGGGGTAAAGGTGTGTGTGTGTGTGTGTGAAGAGTGGGGGTCATCTCCTCACTACCACGCCTTTTGTCAACTTTGATTTTTTTTTTAATCATTGTTTTGGGTGATGATAATGATAATGATGATGATTATCATTCTTATCTTTCTTTTTTTCTTTCTTCAAGTTTTTCTGGTTGTTGTTGTTGACCAATTAGTTTTTTGTTTTAGAAAATGAAAATCTTGAAACAAAAACAAAAAATATGGGTAGATAAAGGTAGGTAAATGGCTTAGATGACAATATTGGTCGATGTCAATAGCCGACTGTGACAACTGACTGACTGAAACTTGTCATTATTATTATGAATTTTTCATCAACAATTTTTTTTCTTGGCTAAAATGATTAATTGTTGGTTGACATGCAAATATCATTATTATTATGATGATGATATTTTTCAAATTATTCTTTTTCATCTTTGTGTTTGTGTGTGAGAGAATTTGAAGAACTAAAAAAACTTCGAATTGATGATGCGAATGAATGAATGATAAGTTCATTTTGTTGTGACAATTTCGTTGTTTGTTTGTTTTCGTTTGTTTGTTTGTTGAAATTCTGTCTCTGTCTTTGTTTTTTTTCCAAACATTTTTTTATATCATAATCATTGAATCCTATGGTGATGATTGGCGGTGTTGGTGATCAATCATTTAATCTTAGTATTTTTTTTTTCTCTTCTCACCATCCATCCCCCTCTCTCGATGACATATGTAGATGATGGTGGTGGTGGTTGTAGCGGAAATTAATTTGTTTTTGAAATTTTTTTAAATTGTTTTTTTTTGTCTCCTGAATGATTAATGTTTTTGTCATTTTTGTTTTCTCTCATTTTTTTATCCCCCTTATTATACTATAGTGTTATTACCACATATTGGTAGTGCAGCACAATCAACACGTGAACAAATGATACAAATGGCATTGGATAATTTGGAAGCCGGTTTAGAAGATCGTCCATTATTGGCTTCCGTGTAACCGCAATAACCCGTGGTAACCCGTAACTACGATTATGGATTTGCTAGAATTTTAATAAATTTTAAATTTTTTTAAAAACTTTAAACCAAAAAATGAATAAAAAAAAATTGCCAAAAACAAACTAACAAGATAATTATTTGTTTCCAGAACAAACATTTTTAACACGCCAGCAGCACACACCTAACAAGTTTCCTCCTGACAAGAACATTTTGGCTACAAAATTGACAGATTCATTTTTTTTCTATTTCCAAAACAAATAGTAGCAACCATAGGTAGGTAGGTAGGTTTGTATGAAAAAAATGATGAATATTTTGTTTGTTTGGTCGACCAAGGAAAAAAATGTTAAATGCCGGATAATTTGTACCAATTTTTCATCATCATTTCATGGACAAATCATCATTATCGTTTTCGTGGCTTGAAACTTGCTGTTTTATAAACTGTTTTTCGTCATCCTGATCATTTCGAGAGTAGAAAAAATGGTCGATCGGATGATGATGATCGGATGTACCTATCATCACCATAATCATAATGATAATGATGACCACGACCACCATCACTACACACTACACATATGCCAGATTTCTCACAATGAAAATTATTATGGACGATGGATGATGGTTGATGGTTGTTGAAAAAATGTCTAGCCAAAATGAATGATGATAATGATGATACTCATCATAATCATCATCATTATTGACCTTTAACCTTTGTTGTTTGCTGGTTTCATTCATTCATATTCTCCACCTTATTGATTAAGATGGGAGGAGGATTTTCAGTGGGGTTAAGAGAGAGGGGGGAATTTAATTCATTCGTTTTTTTAGAAGTTTCTTCAAAAAGGCCAGATGTTTGTTTGTTTGGTTGATTTTGCTGGTTTGCCCAAAAGAATGATTATCATCAATTTACTCATCATCATTATCATCATCATCATCAGATTACTAGGTTGTCGTTGTCCCATTGGTAATTTGATTTGATTTTCTGTGTTTGTTTTGTTCTGGTTTCATTTCGAGGTCAAAATTTTTTGTTGCTGCTGTTAATGATGATTGGTGTTAAAGGTAACCCGTTTTTTAGTTTAGTTTAGGTAAAGGTTAAAGGTAGCTCTCGATAATGATTATATATAGTCGAAAGAAAAAAGTGTTTTAAAAGTTTCAAAGTTTTGAAATTGTTGCTGTTGCCACTTTCCAAAAAAAACACGCACAAAGTAAACGCGTGTGTACCTGATGATGACCAATTTCACAACTTTTCATTTTGTTTTGTCGTTTTGTTTGTTTTACAAATTGATTAATGACTTTTTTTTTTGGAACAGGTTTTGGATTTTTCTTCTCTTTCTTCATTCCACGCAATCAATACACACTATCGAAATCAAACAATCGATTGTATCGATGATGATTTCGATATTTTACCGTTAAATTGAAAAAAAATTAATTTTTTAAAATTGATAATCGCGAATGAATGAATTGCAAAAAAAAAATCTTAAATTTCACAGGTCATTATCATTGGAATTTTTTTTTCATTGGCCTTCTTCATTTTCTCGACGAAGACCACCAGTAAAATCATCATCATCAATCTGATCAATAACCACCAACTAACTAACAAGGTGATGATGGCATGTTTATTTTAAAGAAAACTTTTTTGTTACTGTGTGAAATGAAATTATCATCAAGGAAAATTTGGTAAATATGGCCACTGGCCACTGATCATCATGATCATCTACAACGAATAGGAAAAACTATCCCTAATTCGATCAACGATATTGTTGTCGATGATGATCGTGATTAGGTGAGATGATAATGGTGTGTGATAGGGGGGGAAATGGAAAATTTATTCGATCAGACGTTTATCGTTGATCGTCGTCGTCGTCTTCGACGACGACGACTATGTCTCGCACTAGACAGACACACAAAAAAATGGACAGAAGAAGATGACGAAAAGGCCACCAACCAAGATCATGGTATGTAAGACAACAACAAAAAAAAACGTCGATTTTCATCATCATGATCCATCGATTTTCTGGTATGTTTGGTATTTTGTTTTTGCTTTTCTCTCGAAAAACAAACAAACAAACATGTGATGATCATCACATCCATTCATCAGCATCCAGCCAAAATGATGGCTCGCGCGCGCGAGTAAAATATTTTTTTTCCCTTCTCTCAACAAGATGTTTGATGATGATGATGCTCATGATGATGATCATGATGATGATAATGATAATTGTCAGTTTGATCAGAAAGAAAGAAAAAGGAAAGAATTTTATTGATGAAAAAAAAATCTGATGATGATCATCAAATTCTTTCAAAGTTTTTTCCAGATAGGGTAGAATAGCTGTGTGGATGATTATCATCGATGATGATGATTGTAGGTTTTTTTTTCGTTGCTGTAAAACCTTGATGCAATGCAAAAATTCCATTGAAAATTATTGAGGATCATCCTTCGGATGATGATGATTATTTGTTGTATTTGGGGATACAATTTTGTTTTTTTTCTGGCTAAATGTTTGTTTGTGTGTGAAGAAAAACATTCGCAGAGAAAAAGATTATCGTACTTTGACCATCATCATCGATGGATGATTGAATGATGACGATGATGATCAAAGTCAATTATCTTTAATCTTTGTTTCTTTCGGATCAATAGTTGTTGTTTTAGTTGTTGTTGATGAACTTTGAACAACAACAACAACAACCTTATCGATTAAGATTCAATAATTTTAGGAAAAATTTGTTGTTGTCGTTGATGATGTGAGATTTTTCCTGTACTGATTCAGTGAAGATCAATTTCGCATTCTCATATATGTTCAGCCAATGAATTCAATTCACACGATAATGATGGTGATGACCAGCCAGCCACCATGATAATCATTGATGATGGTGATTATTATTGAATGCTCATCATAATCATCATGTCAATTTGATGATTGCATATTTACATGGTCATTTTTTTTGTTTTGAATTGATAATATTTGATGTGATGAGTGTGTGTGGTCATCACTTTAGGTTAAAACTTTTTTTCTCACTTTTAAAAAATTTAAATTAAAAAATTGGAAAAGTCAGGTAAATACAGGTACACAGAATCTATGTTGGAAATTGTGTTTTGAATTCTGTTTTCTGGTTTTTGTTATTGTTTTTCACAGAATTCAGTGTTACCATGGTTACCATCCAACGACTCATTTTCGTTCATTGGCTTTGTTTTGTTTGTTTGTTTCGTTGCTATTGTTGTTCTTTTTATCAATATTGGATTCTGGGATTAGAAAAATCTTAATTAAATCAAATCAAATCCAAATCAGTAATAATGTTTAATGACAATGAAATGATCAATTTAGATCAATCATCACTATCATCATCATCCACATCAACAACATCGACAACAACAGCATTATCACCTGGCCAACAACAACAAAACAATGAACATAATATTAATGTTGTTATCAGGTTAGTTGAACGAATGATGATGAGGATTGTATCAAATTTCAACAAAATTGAAATTAAAATGTTTTTTCTTTCATCATGGTAATGATTTATCACCTTTATCATCATCATCACCTTGTTTTTTGAAGAAAAAAATTCCACCATTGCCATGATGATGTGGATGATGATAGTAATCTCTTTTTTTTCTCGTGTGCATGTAATTTGAAAAATTGAAAAAATCCTAAAAACATGAAAATCATCATAATAAAGTCATCATCAAAACCACCATAGTTGTTTGTTTATTTGCTGTTTGTTTGGTTGTTTGTTTGTTTGTTTGATAATAATGGTCGACGACCGGTGCTTAACCTTACCTGCGCGCGTACACTAGAATTTTTTTTTGTTTCATTAATAAGCGAAACAAACAAGCAAATCTTTAAGGGGACCTTGTTTGTTTGTTTGTTTGCTTGTTTGAAATGATGATGAATTTTGATCGATGATGATGATGATGATTGGGTAAACATAACACATCACATAGGGCCAGAGGGTTTTTTTTGGCCAGAAAAATGATTTTCTCACTCACTTAACCTGGCCTGTTTAGAAGGACCAGAGATTTTCCTTGCTTAATGATTTTTTTTTTAAACTTTTTTTCTGTTATATTTTACCTGGGTTGGATATTTTGTTTTTGACTGATGATGGGTTGACTGGCCTGTTTGTGAACAAACCATCATCAATGATCATCAACAACCATCATCATTGAACAAACACAGAGTGAGGCCCATAATTATTCGTCCACGAACGTCAACAACAACCGGCAACAGCAGCAGCAGCAACTTGAATAAATTGATTAGCCAACGACCCGAAACGACGACGACGACAAGCAGCACGATTAATTCAACAACAACAACAACGGACCAAAAACATTATGTTAATGGTGATGATGGCAATGATGGCGATGATGAAATTGATGCTCAACATTCCAATCAACAACAACAACAGCAGCAACCAACTAAATACCATTCGACAGCCATAACATTTCCAGCGGCTGGTCAAATTCAGGTAAAACAAAAAAATATCTAACCAACCAACCAAACGAACGAACGAACGAACGAACGACATTATGGCGCCGCATCAATTTGATGATGATGAATTTTTCTGGTTTTTTTTCGTTTCGCTTTTACAGGTAGAAGATACTATTGCCAATTGTAGTCGATCATTTGCATTCAATGTTGTATTTGAACCTGAAGCAAATCAAGAACAAGTGTTTGAACATTCCGGTGTTAAAAGATTAATCGATATGGCATTAGATGGGTAAATTGAATGAATAAATGAATAATGATGATGATTAATAATAATGAAATTTTCATAAACTTTTCTCTAATTAAAACGAAAAAAATTTCCGTAAATTTTCTTTTCAGATTTGCCTGTACTGTATTTGCATATGGACAAACAAGTACTGGGAAAACTTATACATTGACTGGGAATGCATTTCAGGTTAGTTTGGATTTCGTTTCGAGTTTTTCGGGTTAGTTTAACCACGAAAAAAATTTTCCCACTATTTCCACCTAGACGGTTCGACCATATTCTACATCTTCGGTGACAGCCGGAAATTCCTCATCATTTTCAGCTGGAAAAGCTAAAAAACCACCATCATCGACAAGAAAAAATAATAATAAAAATCGTTCAAAATCACAGCCACCAAATCAAATGGATGATCAACAACAACAACCATTGAATCCTCAACAATCAAACAACCATAACAGTATTGGCATCATACAATTATCATTTGCCTATTTATTTGAACAAATCAAACGACGTAAAAATCGTGATCAAACATTATTATATATTATAACCGTATCCTATCTAGAAGTTTATAATGAACAGGTAATGTTGAAAAACGAATGAAAAAATTATTCAAAAAATCATTTTCATGAATAATAATGATGATGATGATCATCAATGGAATATTTTCTATATTTTTTTCCATTTAATGGATCATCATCATCATCTAAATCCGTTATCCATGATGATGAATTTTTTCATTTACTTCGTTTTTCATTACACAAAAAAAGGTATTGGATCTATTGAATCCAACAACACGACCATTAATGGTACGTTGGTCAAAAGATCGTGGATTTTATGCTGAAAATTTATTCAAAGTTGAATGTGAAGATTTAGGCGATTTGGAAGGAGTTTTAGAAGAAGGTTTGTTCTTGTTTTGTTTCTTTAACATCTTAGCATAGTTTTTCTATTATTATCATCCACTAAATGATAATCCCTTAATGATGAACGAATTGAATGCATCTTTATTGAGATCAACAACAATGATGATCATTACAAAACTTTTTTTTTCAATTTTCTTCAATAATCATCATCATCGTTGTTATTAGCGAATCTCAGTTTTTTTTCCCGTTTCTATTCTGAAAAACGAAAAATTCAATTTGTTCCATCATTGTTTAGCATCCACACAATGTTTTTTTTGTCGATAAAGACCACACGAAGAGAAAATGGTTGCCATCATCATTATTATTATTTGGAATTTTGACATTTTTTTTAAAGCATCCTTTTTTTCCTACGAAACAACAACAACAGCAAGAGCATGCTGTGTAAATAGGAAAAAAAAATCTTTTTCGCAAAAAATCATATTCAATTCAGTTCAGTGCATCAATTAGTCAAACACACATACTTGCAGTCTGTGTCATTTCATTTTGCGAAATGAAAAAGAAGATGCCATTTCCACACACACACACTGGGAATTTTCAGATTTTTGTTGTTGTTGTTGTTCAAAAATTTAAAATTAATGATGTTTAAAGCAAAGAAAGCAAATGATTTTGTTGTTGTTGTAATTGAAACTTTTGTTGTTGTTGTTGAATTTTTTTGGAGAAAAAAAAGTTTCAATTACTTCAACTGTATTGTTGTTGTTGTTGACAAGAAATATAGTCGAATTAACAACAACAACAACAAACATTTGTTGTTGTCGTTAGCATCTTGTTTTTCCATTTAGTTTGCCAGAATCAGAAAATGGTTTCAATTTTTTTTTTTGGATTCTTTCGCCTGACTGGCTTTATTATTTTCTCTTGCAGGCACACACATAAGTTGTGTTTTTTTTCGGGTCATTTTCTTTACAAAAACGATGATGATAAGCATCAATTCGTCGAGTGCATATATGCGTGGGTGGTTGATAAAATTGAATTCTTTTTGTCGGTTTTTTTTTCATTTTAGTTTTGATTATTTTATTCTTCTGATAGCGTTCGAATCGATTGTATCGATCGATACAATCGATTGTTTGGCCCTATTTAATTTAAACAAAAAAAAAATTTTTAATGGAAAATTTTCAAAAACATTTATAGAAAGACTATTTTGATTTTGGTTTCCCTCACCAAAACAATGGATAGCATGACTAGCCAAAAAAAAAAAGAAATCTTATCAACCGATATTTCCAAAGAAAAATAAAACAATATGTATCGATCATATTCCATAGATCAATCAATAATCATTCAACCATTTCAATCACCAAAAAAAAAAAAAATCATTATTCTGGATCAATTCAAATTAGCCATAAGAGAACACACAACACTTCACTTCAATCAAGGGTTTCTTTTTTTTTTTTGCCATCCCTCTTTTTCAAATTTTCCCTATTCAAATCAATCGAATCGAATCCAATAATAATAATAATTGTCATCATCATTGTTATCCTGATAATTCTCATATTTCTCCTATATGATGATCATGATGATGATAATCATGAAATTTTTTTTTTTGAATTATAATCACACACAAACACACGACCCAACTATATTCACACAAATGCCAATTGACAATTTTGATAATAATTTTTGTTTTCCTTCATTTGATCTTCGTATGTATGTAATGTTCTTGATTCAATTCAATATTTTCCCATCATCATCATCAACATTCATAAATATAGTTAATAATAATAATAAACCCTCGACTACTCGATTGTTTTGGGGCTATTTTATTTTATTTTATTTGTTTGGGATTTACATTTTTCATATATATAGATCCTTCTCTCTCTCTCTCTGTCTATGTCTATTTCGACATTGTCGGTTGAATGTTTTTTGTTGAATCTTTTGTTGTTGTCGGTTGAATGTTTCCTACATAATCAATAATCATAATAAACGATTTTTTCTCTCTGGTTTGATCCAATTACCGATGATTTTTTTGTTGTTGTTGTTGTTGGTGGAGCACCATTGTCATTGCCAAAATGAAAAGAACCCTATATATATGTTATCTATAGATTAAAAGTTTTTTTGAAAAAGAAAAGATTTGAAAATTCAATAACAATCGATTATTGTTTATTGAATTTATGGATTTTCATTATTATAGATCCTAAATTGAAGAAAATCTATCCATTTTTCTTTCTCTATTGGTGTGGTCTTTGTTGAAAACCAAAAACGGAAAATTTGCCGGTAAATGTTTTCAACGAACGAAAAATCCTTTGAAAATGTTTTTCTTTTTTTTTCGTTCAAGTCTTCGATAATCAAATTATTTTTCGATGACAATTTTCGATCGAATGATTTTTTTTCATTCTTATCTTTGGTCTTTGTCTTTGTAGCGGCTAACAAGACAATGATGGACAAGACAAGACAATGACAATGACAATGGTCAAGTTGAAGAAGAAGAATCTTCATTTTAAAAAGATTTTTTCTCAAAATTGAATCGAACGAACAACAACATTGATTGACTGTTGTTCATTCAAAAAACAATCGATATAATCGATATCGATGCCGAAACTGATATGACTATTGTGTTCAGAAAATTCCAAATTAAATTAAGTTTGTCTACTTGTTTTCGCTACCCTTTTTTCTTTCAATTGTTTTTATTATCTTTCCAATTCAATCTTGCTCGCTTATCTTGATTTTGTCAATCTTTTTTTAAACTTCGAAATATTCGTTTGTCGGGTCTGGGTCTCTGGATCTGATCTATTTCATTAAATCGATATGTTTTTTTAACCCCCTCTTTTTTCTCCATAAATCCTACCATTTATCCGTTTGTGCATATAGGTTGCAAAAATCGTCAAGTACGTAGCCATAGTATGAATGAAAATTCAAGCCGTAGCCATTCAGTTATGACAATCAATTTGTTTTCCGAAATTGCCGATCCAGATGATTCACAGGTAAATGATTCATATTTTAATATTTTTTCAAATCATTTTGTTTGTGCGAAAAAGAAAAATCTATATAGGCTCCAAATCTTCTCCTTTATTGAATAAAGAAAATTTCCGGAAAATCATGTTTCTTCGAAAAAAAACGTGATGATTATCCATGGAAATTTTCCATAAAAATATTTCGCACATCTTTCCATAATCCATTTTCTTTCTGTTTTTTGCTTGCTTGTGAAATCATTTATCATTTTTTTTTCTTTCTTTTCAATCCATTCATTCAAAACTAAATTAAAAAAGGGATTTATACGTAAAGAAGGACGTCTTTGTCTTGTCGATTTGGCTGGTAGTGAAAAAACTAAACGTACAAATAGTAAAGGTGGTACATTTGTTGAAGCAAATAATATTAATCGTTCATTACTTGTACTTGGTAAGTTTGCTTTTTTTTTGGTGAAAAAACAAACCCAAAAACAATGAAGATGATTAACGAAAAAAAAACGGTAAAAACAAAACAAAAAATCATTCATCTTTCCGGAAACTTTTCCCTATATGTATCTGTTGCTTTTCTCACACTATCTTTATTTGTTTACCCGGCTTTTTATTATTTTAATATTTTCAACATCAACATCAACGTTGTCGGATATGTTGTTCATCTTGCCGCGCCTTATTTGCCAATTTTTTTTTCGTTTGAAACAAACAAACAAACGAAAATTCGCCGGATTGAATGATAGTTGATGAGCTTCTGGGCCCCAAAAAAAAATACCTGCTTGCCTACCTATAAATATAAATGTTATGCCGCCTTGTTTATTTTTGCATCAAAGAAAAAAAAACATCATCCATTTCCATTCAAAACAAAGAAAAAAAAATCATCATCATCTTTGAATGACCCGAAAAATGGTCAGCTGCGCAAGTTATATAACTAAAAAACTAAACTAAACTATAGTCAAAAAAAAAACTAATTAATTATATGATTATTATTAAATCATAATTTCCTTGCCTTGTTTTTTGTTTCTGTTTTTCAATTCATCATCATCATCATCATCTGAAAGATTGTTTGCCGATGATGATGATGATGTATATCAGATCGGGATGCAAATCATGCCGCATCACTTGAATAAATAAATACTGAACAAACAACCTAAATGAAATCTTACACCGCCAATATAAACACATCCTACACACACGCACACAGAGATCTGCTATGTATTTTTTCGCTTTGTTTATGTAATTTTCAAATGGGAAAAAAAATTATTTTTCTGTTTCTGTTTTTCTGTTTTTACCGAAAAAAATGTTCCCGAAAACATTTGATTCCCCGAAAAAAACATTTTAGGAAATTGTATAGCTTGTTTAGCTGATCCAAAACGCCGGCAAGGTCATATACCATATCGTGATAGTACATTGACAAAATTATTGGCCGATAGTCTTTCGGGTAATGGTATGACATTGATGGTAAGTAATTTTTTCGCCAAGTTTAGTTTAGCTGTTGATTTTCGAATGTTGTGGATGTTTAACCGATGAAAAAAAAACGAAAAAACGAAGAGAAAAATGCATATACCCTATACATCAAACATAATAAACAATCATCAAATCCAGTTTTGATTAATTGGTTTCGTTGTTTGTTTGTTTGTTTTTGCAAACGATGATCATCATCATCATCATAATAATCATTAATAAGTTTTTTTTCAAAAAAAAACAATGTTCAAAATCATTTTGATAGATAAGATATTTAGAAAGATAAATTAGATACATAGATTCTACATGCGTGGCTAGCCAAGCCGAGCCGGTTAGTCGCCTGGCTACGCACATTCTTTCTCGTGTTTGTTTTTTGTTTTTTGTTATTTGTGTGATTGGTGGTGGCCAATTTACCGAAGAAAAAAAATCAATGATCACGTCGTTGACGGCTGCTGCTGCTCCCTTTCTTTTGATTTTTGGTCAAAAAAAAATTGAAATTAAAAATGAATGGCGAAAGAATTTGTCTGGGGCCAGAAACAAAAACAAAAAAAAAATGCGTGGCACGAAAAACAAGCAAAATAGCTTGCGCAGCCAGGAAAATAGCTTGCGTAACTTGCATCATTATTATTACTTATTGTTTGTTTGTTTGTTTGTTACTTTTGTTTCAATGTTAATGAATTGTCCATTCATTCATTCATATCATTTCAAAACAACAAGCAAAAAATCTATTTTTCATTTTACAAATTCGTGTTTCTCGTAAAAATAAATATGATTCGTGTGGTATTTCGAGAGTAGTAAGCAAGCGAATGTGTAAGGAGCGTCATTCATTCAAATATTTACCATCATCATTCATTCATTTCATTTTGACTTTGAAAAAATGTTATTTTTTTTCGTTTGTAAAATTCTTGAACTAACTAGCTAGACACACATAGAGTGTCTATAAGACAGAAGAAAAATTCGCTCGGAAATGAATATGATTTTGTGAAATAGCAAAAACAAAAAATGGACGCGCCAATATGGCGCGACTATTTCCACCTATCATCAGCATCAATGTGGAATTGAATTTTTTTTTTTGACTTTTTAAAATGAATATAGAGAGTTTCATTCATAATAAATCACCTTGTTTGAATGAGATTAGACAAGCTATCAACATCAGCAGCAACATTATCACGGAAATTTGATTGGAAAAACAAGAAAAATTCCGAAAAAACTTTTCATTCGAAAAATAATGATGATGATGATTGAAAAATGTTCAATTCAAAGCAAACATTCAGGTAAAATGATTTACCTGGTGAATTTGTTTGTTTCCATATGGATTTTTTTCGTTTAAAAATTTTCCTCAATCACACACACACACAGCACTTATGTGAAATTTTACCGTTTGGTTCTTTTCTCGATCATCATTAGTTGTCGATTTTGTCAATGACAAAACTCAAATCAAGAATCATCATCGACAATGACAAAGATGATGATGATGACAAAGTTGCATGCATGTTGCGTGTCAACTTTGGAGTTCCAATTGGAAAATTCTGATTCCAACCGACCAATGATGATGACAATTAAAATTGATAATAATAAAAACCCTCGAATGAAAAAATGAACCAGACCAGTTTTGGTTTAAATAGCGTGCGTTTTTTTCGGTGTTTTCGGTTTCGAGAGTGATGGTGATGAGAGTGGGGAAAACCAAAAAGAACCAGAAAGCCATTGACCGAGAATCATTCAGCAAAAAAAAAGCCAGAATGTTATTTTTTGTTTCAGCGGGGTTGACTGGCTTGGCTTGGGTTGGTTTGTTTGTTGGTTGGTTGACGATTCTTTATGCGTTTTTTAATGATCATTCCAGGGAGAGAGAGAGAGATGAAAAAACAGAGACATATGGTTAGAATTTCCATCGTTTGTTTGTTTTTTATTTAGATTTTGATTATATAACCTTCATCATCGGTTGAAAATAATGATATTAATCATTTTTAAACGGACAGAAATAAATACCCAGAGAGAGAGAGAGAGAGAACATTTGGTTTAAATAAAGTTTATCTGTTTCAACGTTTTTCGTTTTTTCGGTTTTTTTTAAATTAGATTGCCTGTGTATCACCAATGAAATGTGATTCACAAGAAACAATTAGTACATTAAGATATGCATCACGTGCAAAACGTGTACGAATGAATCCAGTTGTACAAATGGTTTGTATTCTTTTTCGATTGTTTGCAGAATTTTTTCGTTTTCAATTGCAGAATTTTTTCCCCTTGTTGTATCATAGGATCCACGTGAATTACTTATATTAAGTTTAAAACGTGAAATACGTATACTTCGTATGGAAAATCAATATCTACGACAAAATTGTCATCAAATGTTAAGTATTCAACCACCACTTCAGCAAATTTCCAATGGAAATCAATCATTATCATTACCATCAGCAACGACAATCGATGATGAAGAAAAACAAAATCTTCTTGAAAAATATATGAAAGAAAATGAAATTTTACGGTAAGTTTTTCTTTCACTTGACCATCATAAATTCTTCATTTAACCCTTCGTTTTCCTCCAATGAAAAAGTGTGGAAAATGTACAAATAAATTTACAACGTAATCGTCTTGTACGTGATCATGAATTAGTTTGTCGTGAAAATGAACAATTATTACGTAAATTAAATTTATTATTATTCAAATTGAATTCGATTGAATCACAAAGTGTTAATGATGACAATGCTCTTGTCGATGATGGTCAATTGGCTACAAAATTATCAGCTCCAACCACAAAGATGACAAAAAATTCATCAAATCTTTATACATCATCATCATCACCATCGATAGTATCGATGGTTGCGGATGATGATGATGAGGATGCTGATGAACCGATGCAATTGAATCAAAGATTAGCATCATCAAAAACGATTACAGGTAACCAAAGACAACAACAACAACAACAATCATCACGTCCAACAACAACAAATTTATCGATACAATCGATTAATAACGATAACGATGGTGATAGTGATGGACAACAACTTGATCTAACCATTCGTGGACGTTCGGCTGTATCAACAACAATTGTTTCACATCCAAAATCATCAAGACGACGATAACCGAAAATGTTCAATGTTTTTCTTATGTAATTTCCTTTAATAAAAATCAAATAAAGTTGTCTTTTTTCCACTTGAATGTGTTTATTCAACCATTTCATCGATTCTTTGTTTGATTCATTTCATGATCAAATGTAATTAAACCTGAAATACCAAATTGATCGTATTTCAATGAGAATCATTTGTTGTTTGTTTGGTTTGTTCTTTCTGGCTTTAACATTGTCATAATCATCATTGTTGTTGTTGTCGTTTGGCCATCGGGCAAAAGATTTTTTTTTTAGTTTTTGCTTCAATGATTATCATCAATTGAAATGAAAATAAATGTTTAGTTGTAAAGTGGAACGCCTTATTCATGTTTTTTTTTTGTCAAATCAAAAAAAAAAAAAACTGCCTTGACATTTTTTTCCCTTAAAAAACTGAAAAAAAAAATTATCAAAAGATNCGATTACAGGTAACCAAAGACAACAACAACAACAACAATCATCACGTCCAACAACAACAAATTTATCGATACAATCGATTAATAACGATAACGATGGTGATAGTGATGGACAACAACTTGATCTAACTATTCGTGGACGTTCGGCAGTATCAACAACGATTGTTTCACATCCAAAATCATCCAGACGACGATAATTGAAGAAAAAAAATGTTCAATGTTTTTCTTATGTAATTTCCTTTAATAAAAATCAAAATAAAGTTGTCTATTTTTTTCCACTTTAATGTGTTTATTCAACCATTTCGACAATGATTCTTTGTTTTTATTTTGTTTGTTATTTGATTCATTCCATGATCAAATGTAATTAAACCTGAAATACCAAATTGATCGTATTTCAATGCTGATGACAATCATTTGTTTGTTTTGTTTTGTTTTGTTTTCTTTCTGGCTTTAACATTGTCATCATAATCATCATCGTTGTTGTTGTTGTCGTTTGGCCATCGGGCAAAAGATTTTTTTAGTTTTTTTTTTGCTTCAATGATTATCATCAATTGAAATGAAATGAAAATAAAATGTTTTTTAGTTGTAAAGTGGAACGCCTTATTCATGTTTTTTTTGTCAAATCAAAAAAAAAAACTGCCTTGACATTCTTTTCGTTTGAAAAAAAAAATGAAAAAAGATTATCAAATGGCTCTCCTCCCTCGAATCCATTGATAATGATTTTTGGATGGAGATAAACGCACACCGAGAGCAAGAGAGAGAGAGAGAGAGAAATGATTCTTGAAGCCACCACTTATTGAATTTGTTTCTTGGACACAACAAACAAATGATAATCATTATGATCATCATCATCAATGATCAGTGTCCAAAATGTTGATTGAATTAATTTTTTTCAAGTTAAATCTTTTACATTATCAATTTGTATTCAATTCACTAATGATGATGATTATTGTGGTGAACACAAATGGAAAAAATAAAAAATTGTCATTCATGATATGATCATTATGATTATCATCATCATTGAAATTGAGAAAAAAAGGGGACATTTTAATTTTATAAAAAATCAGACAACAAAACAACATTTTAATGATGATGTTTTTTTGGTGGATAATCATTGTATTTTGGTGAACGATAATGATAATCTTTTTTCTTTCTGAAAAAATCAATTTGGATTACCTTGTTTGTTTGTTTGTTCGGTGATGCAAATGATAATGTCCACAAAGAAAAAAATGTCCTGATCACCAAACAACAGAAATCCTTTTTTTTCTTTTTCTTTTCAATTTTTAAATTGAAAAAAATTTCCATAGAATCTAATAATGATAATGATTTTCTTCAAGTAAAATTCGTAATTTTGTAATGTCCAATGTTTTTTCTGATTTGATTGTTGTTTTGTTTTGTTTTGGATTGAAAAAATAATCGAATTTTGATGATAATCATCATCATCAATGATCAATGATTATCGATGATCAACGATAATCATCATCATCATCAACGATCAACGATAATTTGAAAAAACATCGGAAAAAAACACTGATTACGCCCTGACCATTGTTTGTTTGTTTGTTTGTTTCCTTATCATTGTTTTTTCGTTTGTTTGCTTGACCATTTGTAAAATCATTAACCAACAACAACAACAAAATGGGGAAATTTTTTTTCCCGTTTAACAACAACAATCGATTAATTTTATCCAATAAACAATCGATTGTTTGTTTGTTTTCGGATTTTGAAGAAGAGAGGGCAAGAAAAAGTGTTAATGTTTTTCATTTTTCTCGCAAAGATTATGCTGATAAATTGCTCCAAATTTATCATCTCCACCTTTTTTTCGTCATCAATGGATGGCCATTATCATTATAGAAGACCATTATCCAAACAAACAAAATTTTTAAACCAAAAATTTTGAAATTTTCGAAAACCTGGCAGCCATCAAAACCAAAGCAAAAAAACATTGTTATCATCAAACCCTTTTCCATCATCATCAACACAGATTTATCTTTGATTTGAAAAGTGATGATACTTTTTTTTTGACAAAACCACAAACAATGAATATTTTCAACAAACAAACAAACAAACCAAAAAATGAATGCCGGCCTGTTTTCCATTCATCCATCAACAGAAAAAAATATCCATTTTTTTAACATGTTTTCTGTTCTGGCCATCATTATCATCACACTATATCTACCATCATCATCATCACCACCGCTACACAATGATGATGGATCCATCACCAAAGTTGAGTGTGTTTTGAATTTTAACGAATAAACAAACGATGATACCAGTGATGATGATGAAAACAATGGATTCAAAATGATGGATTCTTTCGTTTGTTTGTGAGGGAACAAAGTGATATTAGTGAGTGAGTGACAAGATTGACTTGAATGAAAATTTTGAAAAAAGTTTTTTTTCAAAAAATTTTTTTCAAAAAATGAATGATAATGGTGGTGGTGACCTTACCCTTCGATTATTATCATCTTGGCCATTCTTTTATTCAAAAACCATCATCATCATTATTATGCCGAATAACAAAAACCTGGTATAATTTGACCACACATTTTTTTCAGCCTGGTAATGATGAATGAATGAATCTTTTTTCTGGACATATCTCTCTATCTCTATATATGGGTGATAATTATAATTATCTTCGTTGTCGTCGCCGTTGATTACTTTTTTTCTCTCGCATTCACATTATCATTTACCGCACATTTCATTTCATTTTTCGGTGTCGACATTCATTATTTAGCTAACCTGGTAGGATAGATAGTAGATTATAATTGTCATGTTTTTGTTTTTCAAACCCCGATTCAATGTAACAAAAAAACACGACAAGATTTATTTTTCGCTCGTTCGGTTTGTTCGTTACGGATTTCAGTTTTTTTTTGGTTTTCAATACGGTTTTCTGTTGTCCTTTATTATTTTTCAAAGTTTCAAATTTCATTCCGTTCATCAATTTTTTTTTGCTTCTTCTCCCGGTAATCTAATCTTTGGACATGCTGTTTGTACATGTTTTTTGTATTTACAGTTATGATATTTTTGTTTACGGTTCGGTGACATCCACATAATGTATTAATTAATGTCTGGTGTAATGGCAACAAACAACAACAACAACAAAAAAGAATCTAAGAATATCTTCGCTGGTTGGAATCAAAAAACCAAAAATTCTAGCTTTAATTTAATTAATATCTTGTTGTTGTTGTTGTTGTTGTTGTTTTCGGATTGTAAAATGATATCTTTTCAACAACAACAACAAAAAATTCAATCATTTTGATTGAATCAAAAGCGAAAACAAATAGAAAAAAATAGAAAAAAAAAATTTCATCAAAAAAGATTCAATTTTCGATTTTTTTTGTTTGTCATTGTCAATGAAATTCTGAATGCAGAATTCAATTTACAAGTTAGTTAGTTCCATCATCATCATCATCACTGGTGTAGAGATAAATGTTATCTTTACACCAGGAAAAAACAAAATGTAATGAAATTCTGTCCATTCATTCATTCAATCATCATCATCAAATTGTTTGACCGTTCCAAAATTTAACCAATCACTTTCTCATTGACCTTTTTGTTTTGTAGTTTTGTCGTTTTGTTAGGGACATTAACTCTTTATTTTGAAATTTTATTGTACAAAAATGACTGACTAACTGAATTTCATTGTTATTTTCATTATCATTGATGACTTTTTGCTGATGTTTTTCTGTTGTTGTTTGGTTTGTCATCATTTGCCCGAATAATGGGAAAACCATTTCGGACCATTAAATGGCCATTTCAGTACTGGTCATTTCTGATATGGCTGCTGCTGTTGTTGGTGATGATTTCTCATTCTGACCTTTTTCGCTCAATTCAATAAATTTCTTTGTTTTGGTTCAATATCGTTAATCAGAATCCGAATCAGAAGAATCCGGTTTTTTCAAATTTATTTTTCAAACGACATTATCCTTCCTCTCTCACCCGCTTTTCGGCATAATCAGATTTTCAATTCACAATTTGATCACATTAATAGTCAACAAAAAAAAACTTCAATTCCAGATTCAGAGAATTTTCAGTTCATTTTTCCTCATTCTCTCTCTATCTCTCTTTCTATGTATGTTTTATGTTCACGATTTTCAATTTCAACCAAAATTCTTGTTTCAAACATTTTCAAACATTTTCAATTTACAAAGTTTGTTTTTGTCGGGTAACATACACACACACACTCGGGTAAAACAACATATCATTATTATTTTATTTATTATATATGTGAAACATGCAGAATCTCTCTCACTCTTTGTGTGAGTTGTCGATAAACCAAACATAAAGAATCCAGGAATAAATGTTTGTTTTTTGCTGTTTTTTTTCAACAGAATTTTTCGGCTCAAATAGAAATTGATGAAAATTCTACAAAAAAAAATTTTTTTCTGTCCACCATCAGCGAAAAAAGACAATGAAATGATTTTGAATTCTGAGAAAAAAAAACAATTTCGATAACGTCAGCGAAATTCTTCAACAGAATTCTATTCTATCTGATGATATCATCATTTTAAAATGATGTGTGCAATAATAACACCGAATAATGAAGCGAATAATTTTCAAACACAACCA